ATTCAATAAAAACAAGTGTAATTCAATAAAAACATTTCGCATAGATTGTACATATGCGATTGTGTGACGTTTATGTGACAACGTCACACTATCGAGTTGGCGTTGAGCGATAAAACTACCTTAACATATTATTCAGCAATATGTTAAATAATATTTTGTTTTGATCACAAAATTGTTTAATTATAAGATTATTGATTGATCATTTCATAATTAATTTTTCTTCAACAACTACAAAAGAAGGTCCGCACTTTTAATTATTATTTATTTATTAGCAATCGTTAATATTATTCATCCTTAATTTTTAATATCAAGCTGTAAAGTAAAACTATATTAGAGTTCATTAAAACTAAACTCTTAATACAATTATGTAAATTATTTGCATTCCTTTGTCACTTGATACGCAAAGAAATGTAATTTATTTTTCAATCATAAAAAAAAGACCTTTCAATATCTTTATTAATGTATCAAACACTTCGACTTACAATTTTATGTCAAGAAACGAAGAGGCGACTTCGATATAGCGAATGAGAATGCTTCAATTATTCGTCAATTTTTTTAAATGTAAGAGTTACTCACCAATTCGCACGTTGGCATTCCGTTCTCTGGCATTTTGACGATGCAACAATCTCCCACGAATCCGACAAAAATCTCGCGAAAAATTCGTTGCCGAAGGATAAAACGCACCGCAGCAGAGCTCAAGCAGACGCGCGAGCAACGTGCTCCTCCTCCGACCCGTCTCCTTGCCTCCTAATATATCAGACGAAACCACCACTACGCGGTCTTCTCTTAAATATACTGTATTGCCCTGATGCGATACTATCCGCTGTCCATGTCCGTCTCTATTAAGCGACTGCTTAAAAGCAGCGCGTTCTTCGTGGCGCATACCGTCCCCTCCGCGAGCAAAGCGCGATCGACGAGACGCCGATAATGGATACTGCAATTGCGGCTCATGCGACCGTTTTTTAACGACGGGATCAGTTTAGCATCTTCGGAAGTAAGGGAAAAGTCTCTTGAAACACGGGCTACGTGGGGATTGCAAGGCGAAAAGGATTACATTTCAAATTGCTGGTGCGAGATCGCGGATCTCTTCTTATTATCTTTCTCCGAAAACAGACGCCTGTCTGCAAAGATTATGTGGCATTACTCGAATCCATAATAATGACACGATATCTCGGTCTCGGTATCCACATTAATTACCGTTCTTTTATCAAGACTGCAAGACAATGGATAATTAACACGCAGCAATTATTTCTAAATTTCTTTTTATATACATAAATATAAAATTTTAATTTGCCTTAAGAATGACTGTGATTAAAATCATTACTAAAATCTATTTCTAAATTTCTTTTTATATACATAAATATAAAATTTTAATTTGCCTTAAGAATGACTGATTAAAATCATTACTAAATCTTTACTAATATATACTTATCCTATACATAACAAGTGCTGCAAGTTAATTACCCATAGAACAGAGAATTAAAAAAAAAATTCAGTAAAGTGTCATAAATTCTGAGTTTTTCAAATGTAAAAAGAATTCTTTTTCTAGAAGTTCTGAAAGAGAATTCTTTTTGCATCTAAAAATAAACTCACAGAATCAGAATTGATCGACATACGATTGAATATACGAACGAATTCTTTTTTAATTTTCTGTGCGATCTAGATAAATATTAACAGAGGCAATTTCAACTATTATGAAATATACTACATATTATCTAATTGACTTATCAAATAATACATTGTATTTTAGTTGACATAGCTACAATTATTTATATTTTTATTATTGTTTGACAAATGAAAGAAAAGATTAGAGTATTATAAGACAATAAATTGATAGTGATTATTATAGAAGCGTTAATTGCTGCTCTGTTAGTTGTACATACACACATGCATATATAAATTATTTGCAGATATACTTACAGAAATCGAGTTATCTTAAAGCAAATTCTTCCCGTAACTGCAGTCTGTAAACAGTCTGCTAGTAGTCTGTCAGTAACTACAAATATTTTTCAATATTTGCACAGATAAATAGTTAGACTTTCATGTTGCATTATAAGCTAATTGTACAAGTTTATGTTTGCATTTGAAGAATGATGTTTATATTCTTTAATTATTCTCAAATTTAATGCATCTGACAGTTATTAAAATTTATTTAAACAAATTTATTCAAAATTAATATTATTCAAGATATTTTAACTTCAACATAATTTATACTTTATAATAAACTTAACTATAATATTAGTCTTAGAATGCACTTATTCTTAGATTTAGTTTAATAGATTTTTTAAAAGCACGTATAAAGTTTTCAGACAAACGCTTATTTAAATTTATTTTAACTGTAGTTTTTGTAGTTCTCTTATTTTTAGTTCTTCTTCAAGAATTTATCAGAAAAATATGAAATTGGTATTTTTTATCATGCTTTATCTTAAAAGTTCTCCGTACTTTTGTAATTTTCATTCAATTACAGATAAAAGCGTTCGCATGTTTCGTTTTTTAAAACGTCGTTATAAGTGCTTTTTTGATAAGACGTACAGTAAAGATGTTTCGTACTTCATAAAGTATTTTTTTTTAAACGGCTCAATATTTGAATAGTTTATTTAAAATATTTATTTAAAGTTGTTCAATATTAATTTTTCTTAATTTTTCAGTAATTGTAATTACGCAATTATAAATCATCCAACATAAAATACACTGGACTAATTGCATATATGTATATATGTTAATATTAATGTCTATCCTTAACAAAATCATAAAATTAATATTATATTATATTGACTAATTGTTTAAATCAGGGTTGTGCATCTACGCGTAAAATATAAATACTCTACGTTTACGTGTAAACAACGTAAACTATTGTAAAAGTGTCATCTATATGTAGACAGTCAGTAGTAGACTATATATTTATTCATTTAATAAATATATATAATTTAACATTTATGTAAAAAAAACTAATATTTAAGTAAAAAAAATTCTCTGGTTGCATTTTTAATCTTAATCTCGTAGTTAAATTAATGTTCAAAATATACATCAAGAATATTCTAAAGATGTGATATCTTTAGCCTGTTCCTATGATACATTTTGAACATTTCTATTGTGGGTAGAGACTGCCTTATAATTTAATTTTTTTATATTCTATATATTAGTGATACAATTTACAATAGTCTACATGGTTTACAAGTCTAAATTGTCTACGCAACAAAAAGACCATGTAAACATCACGTAGATTTCACGTAAATAATCCGTGTAGACGTAATCTTGAAATCTACGGCACAACCCTGGTTTAAATTTTAGCAATTATTAAACAGCCTACGATAACTACCGTAAGGGATGTCGGTCTTTAATAGCATCTCGTCGGTGATAAAGATTATATGTGGGATTTAAAAATACTACTATCGCCATCTAGTGATTACAGAATGCAAGCATGTTGCGTCCTGGTGCAGGGGTCTATCGTATCTACGTTTATGTAGAGTCCCTCTAGGCCGCGTTATTTCTTGGCGCTGCACCAAGTGCAAAAAGTGTAGCGCAGCTACACCGAAGAAACGATCCTTTCGCGATTCCCATCATTGTCTATCGTCGTTTCTGGTCGTCCCAGTCCCAGCTGTAGGTGGCAAGCAAATGTCTGCCGCTATGGTTAAGTCCTATATTTGTAAACTCTGAATTTGTTATCTCTATTTGATGCTGGAAGCCGTTCTTTGCCGAACGATTGGACCCGTCTGTAAAACTCTCGTGATACCCGTCGACTTTTCTGAGTGATATTCCGGCGCTTAACGCAATTCGCGTCGTGCTTGCACAATGGAAGAATTCGACGAACCTTCGGACGTTGAGATGGTGCCTATCGAGGAAATCGAGAGAGCCAGGGCAACCTTACAGCCAGAACTGCAGGTAACAAAAACGAACGATCCTAATTGACGCGTATATATTAACATCCAGACGTTACCAGGACGTGCTTCAAATTACACTCCCAAATCCCTTTAAATACAGACGCTGGACAGCAATCCTGAGAACACAATCAGCAATCCAGCGGACACATTCACAACAGGCATAGATATATTTAGCCAAGAGGAAAGATTGAAAATGGAGGAGCGAGCGAAGCGTTTTGGCTTGACGGAAAAACCCAAGGAGCTGTCAAATGTAGAAGACGAACTGTACAGCAGGTAAGTACAATGTAACTTAATTGTTTTGCCATATTGATTCGATAAAGACAATTGCTGTTACCTCATATTGTGATGGTTGCAGCATGGGTGTCGTGGATGATGAGAATGATAAGAACGTCAGGTTGAATGTAATTCACATGAGAGGGACTGAAGAGATGAGCACCAAGGACGTGTTCAAATATTTTCAAGATTATGCCCCGAAGTCGATTGAATGGATCAACGACGTATCGTGTAAGCTACGAAATTTTGATTCTTATTCGAGAGAATGACAGTGCATTGCTTACCACTGTCGATTTTGACGTGTAATTTATATGTTACAGGCAATGTAGTTTGGTTCGACAATGTAACAGCAGCCAGAGCTATGCTGGGATTATCCAAAAGGATTTTAGGTAGCATTGCAAAATATTCGGATCGAGAGAATAACGATTCCGAGAACAAGAAGGACGACGTAGCGATGGCGGTTGAGGAGGATGTATCTGTCGATGCGGACAAGAACGGGGGGCAGGACAATTGCATAAGCATTAAAGATATCGATTATCCATTGCCTCCTGGTATATGGAGGAAAGGTGTTGATTATCCAAAATCTAAAGGGATCTTCTTGAGATTCGCCACCAGGGCGGATAAAAAGCAGATCAACGCGGAGAAGAAAAGCGAATACTATAAAAAACACGGAAATCCCAACTTTGGAGGTAAATACAAAATTTTGTAACAAAATCAGATCGTTAAGAATAATGGAGAACGGACGATAAGATGGCTCTGTTTCTGTGTACACGTTTAGGTCTCAAAGGGATACTAACGGAATCTCGTAAGCGTATGTACAAGCAGATAAAGCAAAGTAGACGCAAATCGTCGAGCGATGATGACAAAGATCAGAATCAAACAAAGAATCCATGGGGCGCGTTGTCCGAGACGTGGGGCTTGAACGACGTCGTGGAGGATGATTTTCTTCCGAAGAATGGTGTTAGAGATCAGGGACGTAGCATAAAGGAGAGACTGGGTCTCAAATACCCAGAGAAGGACACGGTACCAGCCGAGGAATCAGGCGAGGCCAGTTCGAGTAGCGACAGCGATGAGAATTGGTGTAAACGGAGCAAAATTCCCCGCATGCGAATGCACGCCGACGACGAGGAGGAAAAAGTACAGAAGCGTCGGGCGAAGCTACGATTCCAGGTTAGGGTTTCATCGTTTTTTTTTTTCATTAAAAGAATTTTTTCCTTAATTTGTTTCACACAAATTTCAAACAAGATATCTTTTTTTCTTATAGATGATTCTGAATAATTTAAATAACAGCGGTGACTTGCGATCAAAGTTGGGGAAGTCGAAAACGAAAGCGCAGTATCGCGAGCCCATTCAAGTAGTGGTAACAAATACGAACGCGACGAATTCGAAACGCGATAATTCCGGCACAATTCGGCAGCAGGGCTATCAGATTGTGAAGGAAGTACAATCGTCGGAAAGGGAAGAAGGAGAATGGCAGGAATCGGAAGATGAGATTGTACATGAAGAGGAGGAAGAAGAAGAGGCCAAGGAGAAACAGAGGCACGGTCAGCGTGGTCTGATAAACGTGGAGGAAGAGCGAGAGGAAGGAGAAGAGGAGGAAGAGGATGAGGAAGAAGGCGAGCACAAGGGGGACGAAGAGGAGAGCGACGAACAGGACAACGACGTGCCTGCGAAGGAGATTCAGGGCCCCAAAGGCAGTGTGATAAAGGTCGTCCCACCCAAACCACGCATTGCCTCGACCGTGTGGGCAAGATTGAATCATGCGAAAAGCGAAGCTAGTGACAGCTATTTGAAAAAGAGGTAAGACAATGATTTAATTAATTTTATCTATACTGAAGACAGTGAAGACATCACACATAAGTGATATAATTTCTCTCTACATCGCATATATTTGGAGTAGATTTTTCATATCTTGTTGAATTTTTAAAATTAAATGTTCCGATGATTCTTCTGATTTATTTTGTTGAAATAAAGTGTAGGTAAATATTATTAATAGAACATATATGATTTATACTTTTTGTGTAGTATAAATTGTGATACACGATAATCGTTTTGTTTTTAATACGTGTTTTTCGATATACTTTAAAAAAGTGCGCGTTCTTTTTAAGCATATGCATATAACTTATTATTATATGATCAAGTAATCTTATGTATACATCTGCAAGCTCACACGAGTTGTATTTTTTTAAAGGCCATCAAGTAGCCGCGACTTGAGGAGTACCTTGAAGGGCGGTGATCTACGATCACGAATCGGAAATCACACCAGAGGACGTTCTCCGTTGAGAATAGAAGTGAAAAACGATAAATACACAAAGGACGATAGTGACGGAGAGTGATCCCAGATAACGAAGTAATAATTCAAAAGTTCGAGACTTGTATAAAGCGCTCATCATTCAGATGTATTATTTAAAGAGTTTTTTCGTAACATTTTATATCGGCCACAGGTGGAAACAATTGTAAATCAGCATGTGGGTATATGTGTATTCAAGTTTACATAATTTATGGGCTTAATGAAGTTTTTCTTTTTTCATCATTGGAAAGGTTTGCGATTATTTTTACACACACAGACACATACACACACGCACACATACACATGCGCGTATCATGCGCGAGGAGAGGAAAATATTGATTTATAAAGTAATATAAAACTTTTATTTTTCGTACTTTTAACGTATTAATACGTTAGCGGTCGATCTTCCAGTAATAATCATTATTGTTTTTATCGTTGGACAAGTAAATGAATGCTTCCGATAATATCGCGTGTAAATTTGACACAGATCATGTATCTACAAATTGATGTACATTTCTGCGAACTATAGAGAAATACAACTAAAAAGTACTTCGACCGAGTTATTTGTGCAATTGGGAAAAGAAAAATTTCCAGATCTCTTTTGTGCTGCTACGAAAGTTGCTATCGCGATGTAAAACAATGGTACCTCTTGCATGAAGAACACAAGACAAAAGTATAGTTTCGTAAGTCCGCACGGTACGGCATCGCGTTTCTCAGAACGACGAATTGAGATATTTTGTAAAGGCAACTCTGATCATCAGGATAATACTCAATGTTACTGCGAAAAGAAGAAAGAGATAAGTAACGAAAGAAATAAACGATAATCTGTACATATTGTGTGTTACATTCACCATTTCTCTGATACGTTCTATCTTCGAATTTTTCAGTCGATAATTTCTGCCGAGAGAGACGTGATCCGATAGATTGTGACCTACGCGAAAAGGATGTTAAAATTTTACTTTGTTACTCCTTCAATTGTGATACAACCAAAAGCGAAGCCAACAAAAAAAAATGTTGCTTTGTAATTCAAAAATTTACAGGGACAAATAACATAGTGAAGACAGCGAATAATTGGCCAATAGAGCCTCTTTTTTTTTTATATTAGCACAATAATAGTGGAATAGCTATTTAAAATACAATAGTCGATAATGATAATTTAATTAACATGAATTATGACGACTCGTCACGGATAACAATCATTTGGAACAGCAATCGAGGTAATAAAGAAATCGGATAAAGAACACAGTAAGTACATTTATTTCTCAAATAGCTGCTCAGCTACATTCATAGGTTCTCATTTATAATTTTTTCCGTTCAGTATTATATTTTCGAAAAAATAATTTCCAAATCGAAGCGATTGTACTTGACTCGATTGTAAATATCGAAACGATCCATTTATCGCTTTCGCGGCCATTTGGTCTTATTCTGGCATCGTTTGACAGCAATTATCTTGCGATTATACTCCGTATTTGTCGAATGAACGACGCATTGTTTTGAAAAATTGTTTTAATTTTATCCGCATATATTTTATTTTTTTTTGCCTGCACGATTTATACGTAAAATTTACGATGATTTATATATGAAGTTATGTTCGGTATAAGCAGGATTAAAATCTGCTTTTAAAATTTTGGCTGCTCTGTTTATTACATTCAAGTTTGCGAGCATCGCTCTATTTTAGTGAAATTTCCCCGAAAATTACATATTTAGCGAATTTAGCTGAGGAGCAAATCTGATTAACGCGATCGATCTTCCAGCGCGACAGAATAATCTACTCTGATTAAAAGCATTACGGGTTCAGCGCTACGACTTGTTAATAATATTTACAGTCGTATTTTTTATAAACGCTATGAATGCAGCTTCGGCGACAAAAACTATATCAATGATTCACAGCGACACAATCGAAACGGACAAGACGATATCTTTCACGATATTGCCGTTCGGGATCAGACGTGATCAGAATTGAAATCGGAGGAACAGAAACAATCTCGGGGGGGACGAAATGCTGGCCTTTTTTTTTTTGTTTAATCGAAAAGCTAAGAGGGCCACTCAATCGAATCGCAGCGCTATTATAGATTCTTGCGCGTCCCAAATTGTTTCAAGCGCTGGTTTGCGATGGTACGTCTTCTCCCGCGATGGAATTCTTCCCGCACGTGTATGTCTGCTTATGTTTTACTGCGCTATGGTGTGAAAAACGCCGATCTTGCCCGTCGTGTTAAAGAGAGGCGGTCGTGCGGCCATTTCTCGTCAAAAGGCTTTTTTTTTCCTCCTCTTTCCCTCACTTCTATTCTACGTAAAAACGCTAATGATTCAGTCAACCACTCCGTTAACTTCGAAGACTAACAACTGTCGTTCTACGTTTGTTGAGGAAACGGCACGTAAATTCCATGATTACTTTCGCCCCGCTGCCTCTTCTCTACTCTTCTTTACAAGTTCAATTGATACAGCCGTCGAAATATAACATTGAAAATCGACAGACGAAAATTGCTCCGTGAAATGTTCGGATATATAAGAATCGGCAACAACAACAAGTACACATACATAACTTTAAGTATATTAGGCCTGATGATATCGACAATGTTTCATCGATATATATATTAAACGCGCAACGTTCTACGTTCGCCCATCTCAGCGTTTTGTCCTCCACAAACACTTGTTTTACCGCCGCACCTCGTATCACAATCCTAATATGTTACTATACGTGTCCAATTATCATTGACAGCGAGAGCTTCGATTTCTCGTCGGCTTACAATTTCGCTGAGCGCACGATTTTATCGTCGCTTGCTCACGATCTACGGTTATTTATGAGAACTTGTTTAAAAAGGCCTCGGAGATGAGAGAGCACTCTTCAAAGGGACTCGATATACGGACCGTATTCTTATTTAATTCTGCAGTAGCGACGTAAGATCGTAAAAGACTGCGCGGTCGTAAACGTTTTTACAGGGAGAGAAAAAACAGCTGATCGCGTGTATGTAAATTCTAACGTATTATCTGGACTGCTATAACGATTGTCTCTGCCGAGACAAATCAAGTCTCCATAAAGATTTGCTCACACTCGCCATGCATTATTAATACGAGGTCTTCAAAAATCTCTGTTGCAAGATTCGTTACAGCGGTTTAATTTAAATTTTCAACTGTCGCGCGGGAAGAGAAACGTATGAGAAATAGAAGAAATAGAATACATATGTATCTATTGGAAGTAGTTCTTTGTACTCGCATGTGGAATACTCATGTAATAGCTAAGACGAGCGATCTCCATCCGTGGGATCGCAAGGAAGAAAGATATACATTTATTTTACTTTGGGTTACACGTAGAATTCTAAAGGAATCCGAATCCGTCATCCCTCCCTCCCCCCACCCCTGGGATCATCTAGCGCGGAATGACCTAATGTAGAATCTGTCGTTACGAAGGATTCGCGTCATTACGAACTAATTTTATTTTGGAAGAGATTACGCCCGTGGATAAAACGTCGTCAGGGGTAATTGAACTGCTTGCCACCTGATTGCAATTTGTGCGCGTTTTGTAATCGAGGCTTGTAGCGCGCGTTACTGAGAAAAACTGTAAACCGCGAGAGATTCATCAACTCTTTTATCCACAATTTGCCAAACGACTGCGCACAACGGATAAACACCGAGGGAAGATAAATATCTATTAAGTCGACGGAGATTGAAATCATGATATTATGGTAACGACAGAACGCTTACTCGCTGTTACGTCCGCGTCGCGTCCTTAAGTAGGAGGCGGGCGGCATCAGCGGCGAATCAGCCTCAACGAGAATTCGTAATTACTAGAAATGCATCTTAGATCTAGATAAGAATCTTACGAACAACGAATTTTCTCTTTAATTATTAATTTATTTCTTTAATTCGTTAATTATTATTATTAGATGTATCGAAGAACGTGAAGGTCGGTAACAGTTAATAGAGGAAGTAAATACTTTGTCCCTGTTTTAGTATTTTTTTTTCTCCTCTCTTCAATTCTTTTTCCCTTTTTTTAATTTTCGCCGCGTCTCTCACAACCTAGGTTTCTCGGGAACAGGAGATTGAGAAAATTCTCTCTATATGTCCACAGTAAGGCCGAATGGAGCTATCGATATCATATTAACGAATTCGATTTCTAGCGATTCAAATTGACGTTATCGTAGATACAGATTTTGAATTGCGATATCGATTTCGGGAGGCTCTAAGAGCGATGAGGGTTTCGATACGAGATGTAATAACACTTGTAAAATCTCTCCGAAATGCTCTAACTTGGGACCTTCTCCTACAATGTTGCTTCAAATTGTCACTTTAACCCTTACGACTGGCGGGGACCCCGTCGTTTATCTATCACACGCTCAGAAAGAAGATCACGATTCTCTTTGCAACATAAATTATATACTTTTATTCACGTGCGCTCGGCACGTCGCGATATTACGCTACAACGGTTGACTATCATAAACAGATTAAATACCGAAAGAAATTCTGCCACACACACGTACGTACATACGCACGCACACACACACAGTCATACGTATACTCACATGAGACGAAAAACATATTATATACGAAAAAAAAAATGAATTAGCACGAATGCGCTACAAGCGTTCGAATCTCGCGGAGTGAACGTTATTTAGTTATTTCGATAATCCCCGATATCCACGATATTTCCGATATCGGAAAACATCGAGGCACCATAAGCCGAATGTATATATTGCCCTAGTTTACGCCATACAATTGCGCGTTGTAATCTCAGCCATTTCACCTTTCGGGGGAGGTAAAAAAGATAACTCGACGGGAGGACGATGAAATGAAGACAAAGTGTGTCGCGTGTTACGCCTCGTCACGCTCGCAATTAAATCACAGACAGACGGTATGGTACGGTACGGTACGGTACAGTACGGTACGACGATGATAAATTAAAAAAATACATGTACCAATTGATATTATGCTATATATATATCAATGTTTGCTTCGGTGTAACATAAGAAACACTATATATTTTTCTTTCTCCGAGTAAGGACATGCGAATGTACAAGCGTATGCGCGGACATTGCGACTCACCGACATTGCGTTTCACTCACCCGACTAATCGGCCCGATTAATCGTTCGTTGATCGCTGAACTAAATCGTTCGTCAATATCCTAGTAATCTTTGTAATCGACGGTAATTCGAGCGACGATGAAGTGGCGATGATTGTTAAAAAGCACCCTTTCTTCAAAACCAATCCCGCGATTGTTCGATTTTTTTCTCTTCCATTCCATATCTCTATTCTTTTCTTTTTTTTTTTTCTTTCAGTTCATCACGCGTATCCGCTATTGCGATTCCGGCGGCAACAGCATGCCTGACGAAAAGAAAGCATTCGATTGTCAGCGGATTCAAGAGATCGGCGATGCGCGGACGCAAGACGAATTTAACAATTACCAGTCGACTACATAGCGTTCTCTTGATGATTTTTTTGGAACAATAGAGTCTCTTCGAAAATATATTGTTTTAATACTTCTTTCGGAAGATCATCCAACTCCATGTCAAATCTAAACGGCTCCTCTGCCACAGGCTGAAATTTTTACGGATGCAACATTAACTGATTCGTAATTGCAGTTTCAAAATCAGCAGATGGGAAAACTCTCACCTCGTCGGCAGGATCGTAATATTGCTCCAAGTAGGGATGCGCCAACGCGTCTTCCACCACGATGCGTTTATTGGGATTGAACGTCAACATTTTGTCCAGGAGATCCAAAGCTCTCGGATCGGCATTGGGGAAGAGGCTCGTCCACGGTACCTTTGGTTTATATGGCAACGACTGGAGATAATTCCGTGCCTGAAATCAGAACGCTTTTCTTTTAATTTCCACCGTCTTCTAAGTGTAAAACGCGAGCCGGCGAGCACTAAAAATTGCACTGCAAAATATGCATGTATTCGTGAATCAGATTCTAACGAGATATTCAAAGAGGGTAAGCGTTCAGTACTTTTTCGTTTATGATACACTCGAGGTCCTCCGACGAAGGCGATCCGAGAACACCGAGAATGTGATTCAACTGATCTAGATAATGTTTGCCGGGGAATATCGCTCGTCTCGAGAGCATCTCCGCCAGGATGCAGCCCACCGACCAAATGTCTATGGATTTGGTATAACCCTGCGTCAAAAGATGCTGCGTTAGAGCCGCAACACACGAAACGTGTCCTCGTTCCTCGAATCGCGTTTTCGCTTGCGCGAGACGGATACCTTGGAATTAAGCATTATCTCCGGAGCCCTGTACCACCTCGTGGCCACGTATTCCGTGAGAAAACCCGCGTGATTGTGCTCCGGGTCCGCGACTCTCGCCAGACCGAAGTCGCAGATCTTAAGGTCACAGGTGGTATTCAACAGCAGATTACTCGGCTTCAGGTCTCTGTGTAACACGTTCGCCGAGTGTATATACTTCAACCCCCGCAATATTTGGTACAGAAAATAACATATGTGATCGTTACTAATAGCCTGAAAATGAGAATTTGATTTCGAGCGTTTCATTAAGCATGTGCGTGTCGTTTTCTTTTTTTTCTTTCTTTCTTTCTTTGCGTCTTCCGCGAATCTATATATAACAGAATCTGCATGCCGATTACTTACTTGTGTCTTTAGTAATTTATAGAGATCAGTTTCCATCAGACATTGAACGATATACACGTCTTTCATTTGCTCCAGATTCGGCGCTCTTAATATATCCCTTATGTCTATTATCTGTTGCGAAAGAGAGCGATATATTAATAACGGTACCTTATAAAAAATAATAATAATAATAGTACGCCAAGCTCAAACTCTGTGCGTGTGTGCTGAAGCGTCCAACTTACGTTCTCGTGCTTAAACCTCGTGAGAATTTTTATTTCTCTTAAGGTCCTCTGACTATACGTTTGATGCTCAAAGGGAGAAATTTTTTTAATAGCTACTTTCGTTTTGGTGAGGTTGTCGTAGGCGGACCTGCAAGAAGGCATTATTGACGATAAGCCGCATTTTATTATTCAGCGGGGACCTCTCTGGCGCACGCTGGCTGCTCCGGGCGTCTCGTAATTCTCAAATTATACCGCGGTACACGTCGGATCATATGAATAAAAGAATATGTTTCCTTGCAAACGGTAAGAGTAAGAGCAAATATATTTGTTTCAAAATAAATACGGAATAAGAGCAACATATGCATTTCGCACGAATAATTCTTTCGTTACATTCAACAATTGTAATGTAACTGTAACCATTTCTCACTGGTGCTCGCGAATAAAAAATTCATTTCTTAAAAAACAGATTAAAAATAATGAAATGGCAGATAAAAAGAAAAAATTTCTCTATAAATGTAGCTCTGAAAAGTATAAGAATTTATTTTAAAATGAAATAAATTAGAGAAGAATTTGAGACATAAAAAGACAAGATTTTATTTCTTCGTCATGTATACTCTTCATTCATTTTTAATGTCTTTATATATATATTTGTTTCGTTATACGCGATCGATTGTATAAATGTTTTATTTTATATATAAAGTGTATATAAAATTAGCGATATATTTATAATTAATAATATAAATTATATGTAATAAATTAATGAAGAAGTCGAAATAAATATCTATTGCATTCGATGGCGCGAAAAACGAAGTACGTACGTTACTTTTATTTGAAATATATACTTCCCTATAAGCAGGAAATTCAATTCAAATTAAATTAAATATAAATAAAATTTTCTTCTATTCATATAGTCCCACAAATGTTTCGCGACGAAAGCGAAAGTGCTTGAATCTGTCTACTCGCCAGAATGCAAGCACAAATGCTCGAATATCTTTTTATTTACATATTTCAGGGCAAATCCCCTTTCAATGAACTGACAGACTGGAGTAACCGCCTTCGCTTTATTCATCCGGTGCACTGTTTATCTTTTCTGCTATCGTTTGGGAGGCTTTGCGCAACTTGGTGTGAGTTTGTCCATAGAGAAAACGTGTGTCTTCGACGGTATCGCGGATAGGATGTGGTTCGCGCGTGATATAGGATTCTCAACGATAAATCAAATTCGCTCGATTTCACACGATGCGTGCAGATGTGTTTTACGCACAAGGGCCGCGACTAATGGGTTTCTGATCGAGAAAACACGTTCAGAAACAAACTCCGATACTTTAGCCAATCCATTAAAACTTTAATCTTTAATTAATCTTATTCGATAAAAATAGATAACAGAATACGAACACGTCAAAAAATAAATTAAATAAGTAAAAAACGCAATCTCTGATGAAAAAATATTCTCATTTCATATCTTTAAGAATTTCTTATATTTTAAGTTTATAAAATTTCTGTAGAATATTTTAAACTTCTTTAGATTTTATAAGTTTCCTTCAGTATTCAATTATAAAACGAGAGAATCTTAGGATATTCACGTATATAAAAAATTCTAGGAAAAATGTAGACTTTTCCAGTATTTCTGAAGTGTTTCAATTCGTACAAAAAATTGGAGAAACTGTCTGAAAAGTGATAAAATTACATAGAAATTCTGAGAAATTACATGAAGGAATTCAAGAAAATTTTTCACCAGAAATTTTATTATCGATAAATAATACGAAAATTAATAACGGATTATTAAAACAATACCGTCAGAATGCACATATGTTTGTTTCATTAAAACGAACGTTTCATTAAAAAGATTTAAAAGATTCAAACCAGAAAAGCTCAGAGGATCAGGATACATTAACGGAGTAGCAGAGAGGAAAGCCCTTTACTTTCAGTCGCGTACAAGTCGGGGCTCCGATATTTTTATTCGACATCAATATTATCAACGCAACATCGTAATTATAGAAAAATCAATTCCGAATTTCTCAAAGAGAACCCGCCGTCAGAATCCACGGGCGTGTCGAGGATTATTTATCTCGCGAAATGAAACTCGAAATATCATTTGGCGCGCAAAGACGATATTCCGTCGCTTCGCCACCAATCTCAGCCCTCTACTTGCGGAGGGGGGGGGAGGGGAACGTTACAACAATAACGATATAATAGCAATAGAAATACAGAGATAATACTGCAGCAGCAGAGAAATGTTGCGCGCAAAACATTTCGCCTTCCACGTCGCGTAATTGCTCGCGATGTAAATCATGCCGAAACGTAATTGTGTTAAGTAACGATAGTTGATAAAAAAAAAATGATAAGATAAGATTAGCAAATCGTAAGGTGCAATCGTCGTGATTCATCTGATTAGCGTGACGTATGGATGAGACAAGTGCAAGACAAAAACGCGCGAGGGAGTGGAGAGATTAACGATGGAAAGAGAAGAGAGAGAGACAGGAGGGAAAGAAAGAGAGCGAATAAAGGGAAGTGGAGAAAAGACATGAATGGGAAAAACGCACGGGTGAAAGGGGCGTGACATGCGTTTGAAAGTGATGTATAACCATAATGCGTGCGTGCGTGCGTGCGTGTATGGGTGCATGCGTGTGTGCGAACGTCATGCGTGCGCGCGCGTGTATATGCGATACAATACGAGCGGCGCGCGGACGTCGGACTCGCGCGTACGTCGCCGCGATCGGCGGCTTTTGTCCGTGAGAGGGCCGTGTCTCCGGACGTATGCACGACTGTTCGAGACGCGCGACTCATCTCTCCTTCTCTCTCTCTCTCTCTCACTCTCGGATCACCGCCGCGACGATCGTGCGGCACGCGCCGCGGATCCACGCTGCTGGACCGCCGCGCGTCGCGTCCGCGTCGCCGCTCTCAACTGTTATTATTGCCAAGTCGGTCTGTCAGTAGTCAGACGCGGCCAAGAGGATCGGCCGGCGATCGAGTCGCCGATCGAACGAACGTACGAGAACGTACGAACGGCCGTGCGGCCGTGCGACACGGTTGAGGGTGATGAACACTTACACGACCATGCCGTAGGCGCCCTCGCCCATGTACGATAGATTCGTGTAGCGCGGCCCGACCTCGAACGTTTGCCCGCGCACCACCTCGCAATTCGGACTCACGCTCGCCGAGCCCTCGCACGCCGCCATTTTGACAACTAGTCTGCGGGACGGGTGCCCCGGACTGTAGTGTAGTGGCCTCGTAAGTCGGCTCGGCTCGGCTCGGCGGTTAACGCGCGCCCGCCGCGAAAGAGCAGTCGTCGCGCCGACCGAGAGAGCGACGCGCAACGACGCCGCGTCAGTCGCGTCACTGACAGTGACGCCACGCTCCGCCACCAGCCACACCACACCAGCTATCCGCGCCCCGCGCCTTGGGTGGGCGCGGCGTGGGAAATGCAAAGGGCGGATAAAAACGGGCGCTCGCAACGCCCCTGCCGTGCGAAGGTGTAAGCAGCGATTAATCCTGCGGCACCTGCAGTATACTCGGACGGTCCGAGCAGCAGGTCCGAACGTTCGAAAGAGAGAGAGAGAGAGAGAGAGGGAGAGAATCAGTACACGTCTAACATTTAAAAAAGAAGGAGAAGGAAGACGTGTTTTTTCTTGGAAATATAACTTATATGTGCAGTTTTTTTCTCTCTCTTTCTCTCCTTTTTTTCCTCATTTTTTTACTATCTTTCTCTCTCTCTCTCTCTCTCTCTCTTCCCCCCCTCTTTCTCTCCCCCTCTCATCCCTCTGTCTCGCTGACAGGCAGATGATATATGACACTCTTCCTGGAAAATTGAAACGAGTTTTCCTTGATAGAGACACGGCATGAATAAATAAGCTGTAATAAAGATATTACGCTTCCCTCCCATTATTATCCTTGGCGTTATCACTGTTTCCCACGTCCCCCTTTTTCGATTATCGTCACAGAAACATCGACAAGGGACAAACTTAGGATCGTACATAAGGGGACAGAGTCAACCCGTTTGACAAAGACAAATATTTGAACTCGTTCGAATGACGTCATTGCGAATTTGACCGGCTATCGACCTGCCGCTATCGATCTGACGCAATCGATTGTGGCTCGCAGTGACGATGGTCAACAGCGATTACGAACGGCGTCTTCTCAACCGGCGCGCTTGAAGATTCATCGCCGATATTTCGGCAACAATTGATTCGAGAGCGTTACTCGTGATTGACGAGACGAGATGAACGCACCCCCGACCTTCGAGTCGTTCCTGTTGTACGAGGGAGAGAAAAAGTACGTTGACTTCGACACTTGTTTGGATCTAACCTCAATTCGGGGTCCAAACAATGTTATATTAATATTCACGTTGCGTTCGTTAGGATAATAAAGGAGCAGGACACCAAAGTGCCAAATGCCGCGATTTTCACGATCAACAAGGAGGATCACACGCTGGGAAACATGATCCGCAAGTGAGTAAACTGCATCGAGTGCGTCACTTCCCACGTCCTGTTTTAACTGGCGTTTTAACTGCTCTATTTCTCTCGACTCTACAGTCAGTTGCTGAAGGACCCTCAGGTGTTGTTCGCCGGCTACAAAGTTCCCCATCCTCTGGAACACAAGTTTGCCATTAGGATACAGACAACCTCCGATTATACTCCGCACGAAGCGTTTATGCACGCCATCACCGATCTGATCGCCGAACTGTCGTTGTTCGAGGAACGTTTTAAGGTACACAATTGTTATTATGCACGATATTATAACGATTTCCATGTGTATGCATAACTGAAAGCAAATTTTTTTTCCAGGAGGCAATTAAGGAGAAAAAAGAAGGCTTGGATTGAACGGAGACATTTGTGCGTTTCATAATTCACTATATTCTCTTATATTTAGAATTTGATTTAGTCTATTAAAGTATTTATATTGAATATCACAGACATGCCAGGCACAGTCGTGTAAGTAATTATGTTATGAAATACTTGATCGAATCAAATCAGAACATTTACAGACCGTGTGAATAATTAGCTCATGCATACTTGATTATTCTGTATACTTTGCATTTGACCAGATTCCTATCTTGTAAATATTTGAAATACTAATATAACTGCGAAAGAATTTGTGCGTTCATCAAGTTGCATTCTATACCTTCTATTAATTAAATTCGTATCCATATGTACATATATTCGATAGACGGGCGACCTTGAAGTTGGTTTTATTGAGAAAAATATTTACATTTTATTAGTAAGAAAAACCAATGGAACAGCTTGTCGCAAGGCGCGCACAGTGCAGTGTATGAATATATGTATAAATGTGCATATAAATACAAACACAAACTGGATGAGAAAATTTTCAATTAAAATAAAGTAAATATTGCAGATTAAATATTGCCGATACTAGTACATTTATCTTCTGCTCTTTTTTTTATCCTAGACAGGCTCTAAAAGTCCTAAATTCACTACTTATTAATTAAAGTTTTAGATCTTTAAAATAAAATCGATTCTATATAATTACGTCATGATAAGTAAAATATATTCTTTACAACTTAAAAGTATCATTTGTTCTATTTACAAGACGAAATATATTAGACGTCAAACAGAGATTTACAATCGTTCACCGTAAACGCGAGTGTGGCGTGACAGCGCATGTCATGCTACAGGTCCTGGATTCGATTTACTTGGATTTGAGAGTGAGGCAGGTTTATCATATTTTCCGAAGCACAAATCGAGTGTTTTCTTGTATTTTTTTCTGCTCGTTCTGCTCGCGAGCTAAAAATTGTGTTAACAAACTGTGGGAATAAAATAAAATATCTTTGTATACCAGTCATATAACACTCGACTTCAATCATATATCAATAAACACATAACATGACCCTATAAATTGTCGTTGTTAAAAATAATTACAAATTAAACCAGTTAAACGAGTCAAAATGAATAATAAAAAGTCTACAATTGATTCATCGTTTCCTGTCCGTTAATTATTTTTACACTACGCAGCCAACATAAATAAATTAAACAGAGTTTAAAAGTTTTGTATAAAATTGTTTACATTTTCTTTGAAGAGTTTCGAAGTATAATTGAAAAACTTTGACAGTCATGTGGATAATTTAAATTAAATATTTTTAAATTATGTAACTATATAGCTAATATACCGACTAAGTTCATTCGGAATCGTTCCTAGTTGCCTTTAGGAACGTCATAACATGCAATGCCATCTGGAATCTAGACAGATATTTTTTTTTCACGCACCTGCTCCATTTACTTGCTCAAAAAACGTGAGAGAAGGAAAACGTGACCCGAAACGCGCTGTCGATTTCTGTTTGTAGCATGTGCTGATAGTTACGACTTGCGAAAACATGGAAAATTTAGAAAAATCAGTCGAAGATAACAAAAGTGAAGATAACAACGAGAAAGTTCCACTCACGTGGAAAGATTTGGTAAGTACTCTACGACGATTGTAACCTCAAATATATATGTGCACGTTGTTAAGTACTGCCTACAGAAATTTGCGCGTGAAAGATATTTATGTAATAAATTATATGTTTATTATTTTTGAAACGATCTTATATTACCCAATCTGATACTCTTTTCGAAACTTTCTAATCAACCTCTTATAAATCGAGTCATAATGAGATATGTATACGATGAGTTCGATTAGAGCCATTAGAATTTTCGAGATTAGAATTTTATTGACTACGAGTTGATCGCTCCAAAGAACGGCCTGTTATTGTATTAAACACAAATTTTGATTTTTGAATTTTGTAATGGACAAGTGAAATATCGCACATAAGTGATGCTTAACACGATACTTCACATTTGTTTAATGTTAGGCTATGTTAGATAATTAGAACTATTTAAAGATATAAGTTGTAAAGTTATAAAGTCTAAACATATTTATGAACCTTTTTGAGAATATATTTTAAATGTATTAACTGACAGAAAGATGATCGCTATTACAGGGACTTGTGGATACACTCTGCAAAACATGTTTAGATTTAAAATGGCAGGAACCTACCAGGATTCAGCAGGAAGCTATCCCTCTGACGCTTCAAGGTAAATTTAAATGATGATTTAATTGTAACCAAATTCTGGAAAACAGAGTAACAATCGTAATTCTGTTGATAGGCAAGGACGTGATTGGATTGGCAGAGACTGGATCGGGAAAAACTGCTGCGTTCGCATTGCCTATACTGCAAGCGTTATTAGAGAATCCTCAGAGATACTTTGCGCTAATACTGACGCCCACAAGAGAATTGGCATTCCAAATCTCAGAGCAGTTTGAAGCGTTAGGTGAGAACAAATTATCTAACTTACTTTGAACAATTTATCTAACTTATTTGGCCTATTAAAGGCTCTGGTTTGTATCATGTTATAATTATCTTAGGCTCCAGTATGGGCGTGAAAACCGTGGTGCTGGTAGGTGGGATGGACATGCATGCGCAGGGAATGATACTGGAGAAGAAGCCTCACATCATCATCGCTACGCCTGGTAGATTGGTCGACCACTTGGAGAACACGAAAGGCTTCAATTTGCGTCAGTTAAAGTTTCTGGTAATAATTGTATACGGCAGACACCGCGGATTTATTTCGACAATTATCACAATTGGTTCTAGCCATTCCTTTTGTGCGCTAGGTGATGGACGAGGCGGATCGCATCTTGAACATGGATTTCGAGGTGGAGGTTGATAAAATTCTCAGAGTGATACCACGGGAGAGGAGGACGTTATTATTCTCGGCGACGATGACTAAGAAGGTGCAGAAGTTGCAACGTGCGTCCTTACGAAATCCCGTGAGGGTCGAGGTGTCTACCAAGTATCAGACTGTAGAAAAACTGCAACAATATTACATATTTATTCCAGTGAAATTCAAGGTACGAAATATAAGCTGTATGTAACTGTTGTAGCAAAATGAGTGTCAATTACCACGTGCGATGTATTTATATATAAAGTGTTTATCAAAATAATCGTATATGTACAAATTGTATATATAAAACGATCGTTGCAGGACGTGTACCTCGTGCATATCCTGAATGAATTGGCGGGCAACAGTTTCATGATATTTTGCGGGACCTGCAATAATACGGTAAGGACTGCCTTACTGTTACGAAACCTGGGCTTCACGGGGGTCCCGCTGCACGGACAGATGTCGCAGAACAAGAGGATCGCCGCGCTTACGAAATTTAAAGCAAAGAACAGATCTATATTAATTTCAACGGACGTTGCCAGCAGGTTAGTCCGTAATATTGTCGCAGTAAAGTATCTCACTTAAATAGAAATAAATTTTAAATCGTTTTTGCATTGCTCTTGCAGAGGTCTCGATATTCCGCATGTGGATATTGTCATCAATTTTGACATCCCTACGCACAGTAAGGATTACATACACAGAGTAGGTCGTACTGCGCGTGCAGGTCGATCAGGCCGTTCCATCACATTCGTCACGCAATACGACGTGGAGCTGTATCAACGAATAGAACAACTGATATCGAAACAATTGCCGTTATATGCCACGGAAGAGGAGGAAGTGATGTTGCTGCAAGAGAGAGTGAGCGAAGCACAGCGGATAGTAAAAATGGTAAAAACGACTTCACAATACGCGATTTGTTAACAGACGTAGACGTATTATATATAAATGTTATTGCAACACTCTAGGACATGAAGAACATCGAAGAGAGCAGAAAGTCAGGCAAACGGAAAAAACACGGCGGCGACAACGAGGATGACGACACAGAACAGTCTATTGGAGTGAGGAAAAGAATGAAAGTGAAGAGTAAAAGAAAATGAGGATATGTTGTTAATATTAATTAATTCAATTAATCTCGTAATAAAATTTTTTTTCTATGACTTTCGTGCTTTAAAATCCACATTATTAAAGTATTACTTGAACTTTGTTGAACGAATATTTTAATAACCGGGCTCGCAGCATCTCAATAAAAGGTATTTGCCGTTGTAAAGGATATCTGATAAAACTCATGTGCTTTCAACTTTGATTCGAGTTATGCAAATATGAATTAAACAATTGTTGCAAAAATACAGATCCGCAGAAATGCAAATAAGATCGAGACTCTGTTCGATAATACTCGATATTTAATAGAAAACAAAAATTCAAAAATCTTTTATGCTCGAATCCAAGTAAAAAATATCTTTCGTAAATCATGTTCATTATACAGTATAAATATTTTCTCATATGTATTGTAATTATATTGTATCATTACGCGATAAATTCTGAACTCATGTTAAGATTAATGCCACTCTAAAGTTAACATCAGAATATGCACAATTCATAGTTCGTGATTCACAGTTCGCTATTCGTACAAAATTTTCGAAAATTTGTTGCTAATGTGGCGTTTCCGCACGATTTGCGATTTACGATTTTTTCATGACACGTTATAGTAATTCGATAATTTTCGACTTTTGCAATCCTTATTTTTGAGATTTTACAATTATTACAATTGAGATTTTATATCTTCTATAAAGATGTTGTAAGTATGCAATCATCTATTCACTTATTGTTAGATTCCATTATGGAAAATCGATTAATCATCATATTAGAAAATCTATTAGTAGTCTAATCGATTTTTTACTTGATTGTGTTAAGTGTCACAATCGACTTTTTATATTCTTAATGCACAGAGTAGTATTATGCGCGAATCAACTGACTAATTCGTGATGATTCGCATGATTTATTGAAAAATCACTCCGCTGGCGAATCGACAAGTTTGATAAGCAACAAACTCAACGAATTTTGTTTATTTACACTGTTCTCATCTCATACAAATTGCGAGCTATGAATCACGAATTACAAATCGCGCATAGTTTGGCGCAAGCTTGACTGGATTGGCGGATGTATGATGGGACGGAAACTTATACTTAGAGGATGCTCCTATTAAGACTTGAAATATAATTAAGACTCAGCAATAAGGCGAACATTGTTATACTGAAGAAATTAGTACTGTATTTTAACGACTTGAAGTCTTTGCACAAAGCAGTATGGTATTTAAATATCACTCAAATAATCACAATAAAATATATTATTAAGTAAAATCACAATTTCTTTATCATTTGCGGTGAACGCGTTAGGGGGGAAAATTAATTCGAAGCATCGAAGACAAAATTTGTTATTATATAACAAATGGAGGTCTTCTCTTTCACTTGCACGCTTCTATTTGAGTGTTATCACATAAGCAGAATATTCCCGTTTACGAGAAGAAAATGCAGACAAAGGAAAGCACGTTCGTCCCTACAGCAGAAAAATGTTATAACGAGCGTTATAACGGTCATTATGTACAGCTTTTACACTACTGTAAAATTGATAATTGATTCTTTTCATCAAACTCCCTATAGAAAATCAGCAATCCATTGTACAAGTTTTTGTAGTACAAAATACGGTACAAGAAACACGGTAAGTATTCCTTCGAATTTACAACTACGATGCATCCTCTAATCGCTAAGAGATTATTAATTGTATAAAGTGGCAACAGATCCTCATTATTTTTTTTTGTTCCGTTTGAAAATCGCTGAGCGACGCACATAATCGCGTATCGCGCCGATTAACAAATATAAACGTGCATTGGAGAATTTTTGTTTTTCGTCTTGTTTTTGCTCTGCCATTGTTGTTCTTGTCGTTGCGAAAAGCACTAATTAAAAATGCTGTAATTTCAAACTGTGATATCCACGCATTTAACACGTTATCAATGCGATGTAAGCTTGTTAACAAACACATTTTGTGTGCAAGCAAATACTCGGTAAAGTCAGCATCACACACAACATTTCGAACGCGATCGGAATCGTGACGATCTCGTGCTGAGATTAACTCGTTAAATCCCAGGAGACTCTACGCGCTTATCTATTTTAAATTCATGTACCTCGGATTTTATAATAAAAATTTTTAGACGATTTTTGGGAGTAAAGAGAGCTGCTCTTTTTCCGAAAGTCTAATCGACAATGGAATGGGATGTCTGGAGAAAAGATATAAAGATTGAAAGTGGAAATAAAAAAAGTAAGTAAGAGTCTTATCTTTTTACTGACAAATATATTCAATTAAGAAATAATCGTCTATTTTAAATAGAATAAAATATAAATATAATTATTTTCAAATAGAATAAATATCATTATTTATAGATGATATAATTATTCAAACGATCTATAATTATATCAATGTGTTCTAAAAAAATAGACAAATTATTTAATCGCTTTAAATTTTTATATCTTTTTTTCAGACATTCCACCTCATCGCCAACTAGATTTTCGGAAGGAACAACTCTTTTTACTTAAGTATTTCTAAATATTAATTGCGGTCTAAAAATTTTGATTAGGGCCCGATTATACAAGAATTAAAAAAAAAACAGAAAAGCACTTAGGGAACTCCCAGGACTTAATGGATTAAGAAAATTCCTACAACAGTATGCTGTAAATCTCAAACATTTGCCGCGTATTTACTGCTGCTTTTTCACAAATGTATAAATCGTTAAATTTCTCTGATTATTTAAAAATAAATTGTAAAAAATGCGTGATCGTGCGATTCCATCATGCAAATAATATCGATCGTCGCAACCTCTGCAACAAGAGTATCTGCTTAGAGTACATGTATACGCTACGCTTTATTCGGTAATTAAATTTCGTTTCTATCCCGCTAAACAATTGTATGAGAATCTCAACTTAGTTTTTATATTACTAGGGAAGGGGGGAAGGGATGTATATATCTAATCTCGTTGTCGAAGGTTCTTGCGATAATAAAAGACGCATCCATAAAAAGGATGCCGCTTCGATTGGCATTGCGACGATGCTGTGCGAAATCATTTATCTTAAATGCCGATACCATTTTTATACAACATGATCAATAATGCCTAATAAAATTCTGTGTATACTGTGAAGTATTTTAATATTTAAAAAATTCTGTAACTTCAAGTTTGCACATGAATATTTTCCTTCCTGCACTTTTTGCTTTTTTTTTTTTTTTATAGATTACAGAACAATTACGACGTTACTTGATCTTGTTTTGCAACAATATTTCGTAGTACCAGCAATTTAGTCGAACGTCAATGCATGCGCTGCAGTAATACTGACAGTTTTTAATAAATAAATTCGCACAGTATGACTCCTCTTTGCGATTCTCGAAAAACAGATACGCACATGCATATCGAATTAACTCGAAGTTAGTAAAGTTTAAAATGCTTGTAAAATAAATCTGAGGATTGCAAAGTGTGTAGCATGGAAAGCTTAGCCTAGCACGCTACTGTTAATTGATACGCGGTACAATCTTAAAACTTCGACGACGAGTCCCAGGCCTTATCCAATCGTTAGAACGCATATAAGTAACCTATTTCGAAAAGCGGATTCTAATCACGATGGATGGAATGTTTTTTTTCTCTTTCTTTCCAAACGTAGGTTCAGATGATGTGCTAGTGCGTAACAAAAATCGAAACAACTTAGGTTTCATTCAAATGAGAAATAAAATATATTCCATAATATTATTATTCACTATTTCTACACATTCTGTACATTAAATTCAATTTAAGGGTTTTACCTCGATACACTTTATACAAAAAGGCTACTTATAATCTAACATTAAGACGTACCGTAGCATGAGGGCCCCTCCACCTTACCGCCAGACGGGCAGACGGGCCGCACGCATGTTTGTACTGGTATTACAGAGTCAGTCGCCAGCAAGTATATCATTCTTTCTCTCCCTCTCACGCTCTCTTCCTTTCATTCTTTCCCGTTATCACACACAGCACACTGAATCATCCCATGTGTTTCTGCCAGTGCTTCCTTTTTTTTTCTTCATTTTTTTTCCTCCAACGTCCCTCTTTGCTTCCTCATTATCATTTACAATAATTACGATTTATTTTTCTCATACAATCTTTCCGCTTGTATTTCTTTTTCACTCTTTTTTTTCGTTTGATCTGTCTTTCGTCGAAAAAAAAGAAAGATTTTGTCGCAGCATCGAAATGTAATGAAATGCTTTCATTGCCTTTTATGCACAAATTTGTTCCTCTTTCTAAACCGATTCTTTTTTTCCTTTTACATTTGGATTCTACCGATTTTATACCGAACGGAATTATCTTCTGCGAAAGAGTTCAGATAACACAATACCGGTACAGAAACGGCGTATTTCGAAGACTCAACGAGCGACAGAACTGTTAGTTCAGGTCTCTGTCCTCTAAGTACTTGTATTCGAAAGTAAATCCTTCTTTTTTCCTCTGCCCCCACTTTTCGTAGTCAAAATAGATGTATGTTCCCTGAAACGCAAGCGATTCTTACAGAATGTCGCCAGGTATCACTACTAAGATAATGCGCTACGAAATGACCAGCTTATTCCTACTTCATCCCTTTAGCGATTTCTTTAGAGGTATAAATTACCTCTTTTCGCAAAAAAAAAAAAGAGTAAAAAAGAGGTGCACTAACCTGCTCGTATTCCTCGTTAATAATTTTCGGTTCCTCGTGCCTCTGGAACCACATCATATACTTAGTGTGAAACCTCCAGCTTTGTTTCTTCAGAGCCTTTGCTGCTAAATACTGCCCCTTAGACCCCTCCATATAATAAAATATGAAGAACAAAGTTTCCGTAGAAAGGCGTTGGAAGAACTCCACAGTGTCCGAATGGGGAAGCTGAACCTGAACGAAGTGCACGTGCGTTAGCAACGTCAATCCGCGCGGTCGTTCGTCACGCGGAGAGTGAATTTTACGGATTCGGCTTCGATCGACCGACGAAGATGCCGAATCGTAAAACACACAGCGGAGGAAACGTACCTGCTGATAATAAGGTGGCGTGGTGCATGTATTTCTCGGCAAATACGAACGTAATCTTTCCGAGTCAGACGGATGCGGCATATGATAGTAGGCGGCTTCCATCATCTGGAACTGCAGCTGATGCTCCTTCTGTAGCGGCACGGGCCCGAGGGGCGCGACCCCCAGCAGCGGAGGAATGTGTGCTTCCGACGTGGCGTTGCTGTTGCTGCTGTTGCTCGTCTTGGCACTGTCGAAGATGTTTCTATTCGGCTCGGAAGGTGGTATCTCGAGACCTGCTCGGTTAATTGCTTGTTGGGCAATGGATTTTAGAGAGGACATGCTTCCATCGGATAGCTTAGGGATGAGACCATTGGCAGTGGACGGTGCTGGCGAGCAGGAGTTTGCGGGCATCGGCGAGGATCTACTGCTGACCGACGACTGCGGCGACGAAGACGGCGGTACCGGTGTAGTCATTTCCGTTTCGCTATTGTGATTCTGGCTCTGCTGACTGTGCAACACGTGCGTCGTCTGTGTCGGCGCCGGATTGTTATTGTGCTGTTGCGTTACCGTTTGCGGCACAATCGACGTAACGTTGGACGTGGATGATGATGACAAGATATTATTCTCGCTATTGTGAGCTGCGAAAAAAAAAGAAGAGATTTAATGTCATTTATCGAGCCATACACCTACAAGAGCGGGAATTGATCTTCTGACAACACAGTATCCACGGACACATGAACGGTCTGTGTATGAAAAGAAAGACGAAAGATGTCTTACTGGATGTTTTGTTGGAGGTAGAATGGATGGCTTGCGAATTGCTGTGCGAGGCAGCTACGGTGGCGAAATTGCCGGCGTTAGTTGTGGCAATGTGATTGCTCGTAGAACTAGGCGAGCTATGGCTAGGTGTCATGGGAATGGTTTTGCTTGGAGTGCTGCTCGATAACATGTTCGATTTTATGGTGGCAGTGCTTCCCGTGGTTGGAATGCTCGCTTGCGTATTCAGTAGCGGCCTGACTGCTGTCGGTTTCACAGGCTGAAATCAAACGAGACATCGGAAGCGATGCTCCATATATCCGTATCAAAGTAGATCCCGAGCAAGGCTTTTTTTATCTGTTACTTCTCGATTCGGTACGGCTTGATTCCTTCGAAAATGAGGTATCGCTATCCCCTTTTCGACTTTCTCGAATAAAAATGGAGAATGAAAGGACCCACACCTTGGTTTTCTTGTCATTATCTGTAGAACTATCGCTCGAATGGTTATGCATGGTAGAGCTCAACGACGGCGATGGTATAGGCGAAGTACAGGAATTAGTTGAGGTTGGCGTTCCCCCGGTTTCATTGCTGTTGTTACTGTCCGTTGTTGCCGACGAGGGGATACCAACTCCGGATAACTCAACTTCATCGAGGCCGATAATATCATCGTAAATATATTCGTTCTCTTCAAAATCGGGATCTTGCGACGATTCGATATAATACTCAACATCGTCCTTTATCCTCTTAATCTGTTAATGATATTTCACATGAAAATTAATAGAATTATCTAACGTAACAGATACAATCGCTTCATATTATGCCAATCTGAAAACGCTTACTGTGTTGACTTCGACAGACATATTATCAAGCATACGTAATAATGTCTCCAATTTACGGATATGGTAGCGGTGTTTGTCAAGCTTTGCCTTCAACTCATCTACCCTATCTTGCTTATCTTTGTCTATCCTTTTCTTCTTTCCCGCTTGTAACGATTCTATTTCCGATTCAAATGTATCCATCTGCGAAAAAAGTAATGATAAACGTGTCACAGCGACTCATACTCAATTATCAAAGATAATTTAAGGCTCCTGAGTCACGAATTTCGCGTTAACGGTGGCACACTATACCGCAGTAGAAATTAGAAGCTTATTTGTCACAAGAAAACTCACGGTTTTGACAGCTGTTCAAAGGAGTGAAAAATATGCTTTTATGTACATACAAAATTCAATAATAACTTTAGTTTCCGTCCATTTTTACGAATTTGATAAGTACGAGACAAGTCACATTTTCATAATTAAGCACATAATAAATAAATGCACGCAACAAAATTCGTCACCACTTTTCACAGTAAATTCGTTATTCTCGTCGAGTATTAACTTCACATTGTGAATGTGATTAATCAATTTTTTCTGTTTACGATACCGATACGGCATACGAAATATTGTAGAATTTTTATGATTTACGATTTATAATACCGAAATATGACGTATAAAATGGACCTAGTACAATAGACAATGAAGATTCTAATTCCTACCGCGATATAGTATCGCCACCGTCAACGCGGAGTTCTTGGCCGAGTAGTCAGGAGCCTTAAGATATCATCAATAGATTGGTACCTGCAGATTGAGAGCGTCTATAGAATTGGCGAGCCAATTAGTAACCTCATCTTTCTCCTTCTGAGCTGGGTCCAATTTCTGAGCAGCGCCTAAACCTTCTTTAGAATAAGCCTTTGTTTTCGTCTCTCTTTCTACAACTTTAAATCTTTCCATTTGCTACAAAGCACAAAATATTTACTATACAACTTATTCATAATTTAATTTATTCTAATGTATTTTGTTCTAATTCTAACTCGATTGTAGAAGAAGTACATTTAACGTTAATATACTAACAGTTTCAATCAACTTTCGATAATCGAGAAGTGTGCTCTTATCCTTTATTTCACCCGACGCGATCCAGCTCTTAATTTGATCGCGTAACCTTTGAAGTTTCTTGATTTCCTTTTTGAGATCAGCCTCGTACTTTTCCTTCTGATTGCTGTTCGTGGCATTATGAACTTTTTGCCAGATATCCTCAAAGGTTTCCACACCCTCCGTTACTTTTTTAAGGCACCGATCTATTTCACCTGAAACGATAAAACATATACAAATTATTACTATTGTTTTCTTGATACAAATTGCTTGACTTTACTTAAAAGTTATTTAAAATACAATCGACAATATTTTAAAACAATTAATAAAAAATAAGGAATCTTGTTTCCTTTATTTCCTGGACTATTTTTATTCACCAAGGGGGCAGACAAAGCAAATCAGTAAGCAGATCAGATTCAGTGATTTTTTAATCAATCATAACAAAGGGCTGCATTCAGAAATTTCACCTAGGTATTTAGATACATTTTATCCTTGTTCGACATTTGATGAATAACAAGAGCTGCGTTCCGTTATTCACTGCAAATACCAAAAAACTATAGTATACGTAACGTGAACTGTAAATTTTCAGTGAACTCGCAGTGAATAACGAAACGCAGCCAAGGATAAAATAATAATATACCGTGAATTTTTGAACACAGCTAAGAATTACTGAGCGCTCACTGATCTGATCTGCCTGCTGAATGCGTTCAAACTAATAAATATTTCTAAGAATTAAACAACTATATTTTTTAGCTGTGCGATAAATTTAAAGTTTAATTTAATTAATTATTTTACTTATTCAAGCGAAACAAAAACTATAAATTACGTATGGTTCTTATATATTTCATATATCGTTACAAGAGAGATGTTACCTTTCTTTAAACCTTTCGTTAAAAAAAAAAAACAAAGATAACACGTGATATTACAGATCCTCGCGAGATCAAAATCTTGAGCAAAAGAAGACAAAGTATAGACACTCGACGATCGCAAGAAGTACAGTAGGAAAAAATCCATCATTTTTACATAATTATATTGGGGATAAAGAGCATTCCACGCCTATACATAAATAGTAATTTATATTCATTGCAAACAAGTGTGGAGACAGGTTTCAAGATAAACAACAGCGTACGGCTCGCGCCATCGCGATTTAATTAAAAAGCCAAAGTCTTTTAAAAGTCTTTAAAGGTTATGCCGACAAAATAAAAAGCCGCCAAGTCCTCCGCCGCGTGTGGAGAATCCACCGCGAGCGCACGGGACAAGCGGGGACGAGGGACGAAGTGGAGCCCGCGGGCTCGTACCGGAGCCTCGTCCGCGTGTCCGCGGTCGAACCGCCGTGGCCACTCGGGCGCCTACGACGCTGGACTGGGCCAGCGCGATAATGCCGTGTGCCGGGAACCGTGCCGTGCGAATCGCGCCGAGCCGAGTCTTCGCGCGCGCGACTCGTGCATCAATCACGCGCGATTCGTACGCGCGCGTCGGCGAGACGGTACGGAATCGCGTGACGAGGGCCCGGCGAGGGCCGAGGGCGCGAGCCCGCGCGCTCTCCGACCCCGCACGCGGCCGCGGCGAACGGCTGGGACGTCCCAGACCGCGATGCCGCCGCCGCCGCGGCGATGAGAGACAGGGACGGCGGACGATATATCCACACAAATGTAAACACGCTCGGTAACACTTTCTCCTCACCTTGCAACTTTCTTGTCGCAGCCATGGCTATGTGAACGTGCGATAAAATGGTTCATGCATAGTCTAGACGTATTTGGTGTGATACGAAGCAATTTATCGGAACAAATAGCCGTGGAACTATTATTCCCCGTGCGATATCGGAGCCTCGGCCACAAGATGGCTTCCGTTTTCAAATGACAACGTCCGACCGTCGGTGAGTGTGTCGCGCACAGAGACCCTCCGCCGAGCCTGCCCCCAGAGACTTCCCGCGACGCCGTGTGACCGCGTAGCCCGTTCAACGCCCGCACGCGCGCGTATACGAGGAACCTCCTGCCGAGTAGCCGGCGTGCGTCCCGCTTTTGCCGCTCGTAAAAAGAGTCGCGCGAGAGAGGCGAGTGGCATCAACAAACGTGATATACACGAGATACGAAGAGCGAGATAGTGTGATACGCGTCGACGCATTCGCACACATTCTATACCCGATGCGCGTACACACTCCGGCCGCTCTCGCGGTACGTTCGCGAACGTGATATATCGCGACGCGGCTTGCTCTGTGAGTTGCTGTGACGTGAATCTAGAGACTCGACTCGACAGTCGACGGTCACGCGACTTCCCCTATGGGATCTCGGAAATTGGCAATTCGCCAACGATAGGAGCTAAATTCGGATAGAACCGTCTGATTTGGACCAATCATTAATTATTTCATTTTTTTAATAATGAAAATTATTATTATTAGAAATTATTGTACATTGCTATATTAATAATATATAATTAATAATTACTATTAAGGTAATTATTTAATTTAGTCCTCCTCTGTTAGAAATAATATTTATACATTCTTTAGAATTGTTAATTACTTCCTTTTACGCCATGGGCTTTATGCAACTTTATGCTGTTTTTTATTGATATTTTCAAACTTTTAATCTGGAATACATATTGCTAATTAATTTTCATAATATTTTAATCTTTTCTTTTCTATAATCACCAAAAAAATGTTTATATGTGTATATTTACAAGTGTATATATATATATATATATATATATATATATATAACAGCAATACAATATCATATTTAAGGAGATATAATATAACTTCTAATATTAAAAATTCCTTACAAACCTTGTTTTTAATATAAAATTCCTTATTTCTTCATCACTTCCCTTCAATTTGTTTTTTATTAGAACAGTATATGCGCAGAATAAAAATATTTTAATTATGCGTATGTACAGTATTTCCATATTTTATATCCATATTAATTAGATAGAAATAGACATCAGACATTTAAACGTACCAAGTCCAGCGCGTCCAATAGAAAGTTTAATTCTCTAGAGACTTTAGCCTAGAGTATTTTAAAACTCGTCCTGATTGAGCGACACAGCCACTCAAGTTAACGCACGCATGGAAGCGAGAGCCAATCGCACAGAGGGGACTCAGCTACGCGAGCGCGCTATGTATGAGACACGTGATTGGTCGATCGCTTCCTCCGTGCGTGCGCTTTGACGCGGTCGTGGAGAGTACAGTCTGGACAAGAGCGGAGGCGCGTTTATTGGCACGTTCGTAAACAGGGCTGTTCGCGCGCGTGGGAACGTGGCTGGGCCGAGAGATATCAAGAGTTTCGCTGATCGGAGGATTTACGCTCGGCGGTTTCGGAGTCGCCGTCGCCCGTCGCCGGTCGTCTACCGGTCGCCGTCGAAGTGTCATCGCTGGGGGGAGTCGGGCATGGCGGGTGTCACCACGGGCACCACGCTGGACGTACGCGTGTGCGTCCGCGAGCGATGCCGCCGTGTCGCCGTTCGACGGCCCTGAGCACCGGAGCGAGCGGCACTCGCATTCGTTCTCGCGCCCGCGCCTGTTCCTACCGCTGCCGCCGTCGTCGCTCGCACTGGTCGCTCCGACTCTACGTGCCCAAGTTGAATCCGCGGCGACGTGGTGTCGAGCGGGAAATCTCGTGACCTCGTGGATCTCGGTGACCGCCCAATTTGGACTCCGGGCTTAACCTCGCGCGCGTGCGAGACGGCACCTCGGGCGGCGAGCCGCTCGCACACGGTCGCTATGACAAAGGGTGGCATCACTGGGGGACGTGTTGGAGGCACGGATGGTGCAGCGCTCAGTGATATGACGCCATTTTACTAACCTTTTCGTCGCGTTACCAGTACCTACCTACCCGTCGCTCGGGGTACGCCGCTGAAACGCCTCTCGTGCCGCACGCCACGCGGCCGATCTCATCGTCGCACGGACTACGCTGGACGCCCTGATCCGCGCTTTGCGAAAGTAAGTCCTCGCGCGTGAGCTCGGTTATCCTCGCGACCGCGCGAGTTCGTTGCGGCGGGGACTCGCTCGCGCGCCCCGCGCTCTGGTCTCCCGTTTCTCTGTTCTCCCCGCGCGCGAGTCATCCTCGCGCGCGTTCTTCCGTCGTCTTTGTCCCCAGCTTCCGCCGGGGCTTCCATTGCGGAGAGCGAGGCTCGCGCGGACGGAGAAGCGAGAAAGGGAGAGAGAAAGAGAGATAGAGTGAGAGTCGACCGCCACGCGATCCGTCGTTTCTCGATTCCGGGATCGGCGTGCCTCACTCGGACGCCGCTTGTCCGCCGTTTCTTCGAGGAAAGAGTGGCGGATCCGCGTGCCCGAAATCGCGAAACGGGAATTCTTCGCGATTTCTGCGAACGTGACATGTGACTGTGTATCCGCGTTCGAGTTGTCTTTTTTTTTTTTCCTCTACGGTGGCAAAGGTGTGAAATCCTCTGAGAATAGAATCGTGATCGAGAGTGATCGTCGTCTACGCGACGAGTCATCCACGCGCGCAATGCGACGCAATACGGCAATCCTGTCCGTCTTCCCACCGAGAAGTCACTAGCGAGATGATGCGTCGATGTGTTTCTGTCGCATTGGAACGTCGTCTGTGTTCAAGAAGGTTTTGAGATAATTTCGAGTTTAACGACTTCACGACGTTGTTGCGATTAATGATATTTTTTTCGACAGTAAACAGATACACTCGTTTGCATGTTTGATATTAAATCGCAATTATAATGTTTTTTAACGAATGCTCGAATTATTTACATGTAAATATAAGCCGCCGTTACACTCGAATTACGTATGCATATTTTTATATTTAGATATGTGATTTACATATGTGTATGGAGATGCAATGATATAATTTTGTATTTTCAGGTAGAAACGCTGTAACAGTTTGCACTATTATGGAAGATGAGGATGGAGAAAGTAAAGTTCTAGATATGTGGAACATTCTGGAGGAGCAGCGACTCCAAGATTCTGCATTGGGCAACTCATTGAAACATTCCATCGACGACGTGTACGCTGATGTGATCGAGGAGGAGAAACAGTCGATGCGCTACAACTCGCTCATTGCGAGCGACTCGCCAGCCAAAAGTGTCGTCGCGGGGCCAAGATTCACATTCAAGGACTTCAGGAAGCGCATCTTGGCCGAGACGCGGGAGATCCCCGCCACCGCCACCGCGCCGAGGAACAGCACGCCGCCGGAGCCGCGGCGACCGACGCGTCCCAATGCGAGGACAACAACCGGCAAGGACAAGGTCGTGGAGAGGAAGCGGAAGCGCAAGATAACGGAATACGCTCAATACCTCGGTCTCCGACCGTCCACGAGGTACAAGTGCTCCAAGTGTCACGCGTGGTCCAGCTCCAGTCCCAACGCGAGGCAGAACTCGTGCGCTTGTAATCCTAGCATGACGCCGATGCCGAGTACCTCCGAGTCGAGTGCCCCGGTGCCGCACGCGAGCAACTTCAAGATCACGCGGAAGGTCTATCTGTGCTCGGCGTGTGGCACGTATTTCGAAAACTGGAATCTGTTCCTGCACATGAGGGACATACACAAGCGTCACATATGCCTCTACTGCCTGGGCATGTTCGGCCAGGCGGAGAGGCTGTCGTACCATCTGATGAAGAAGCACAGCGTGCCGGAGATGGCGTTCTCGTCGGTGGAGGATTTCTACAACGCCTTCAAGGGCTCGTGCTATCTGATCTGTTGCAGCTGCGAGAAGGTGTTCTCCGAGACCGACGACTTCTTCAGCCACTTCTGCTCCCCGGTGTTGGAGCAGGAGCCGACCGTCACCGTCGCGTCAATGTGCACTATATGCAGGCAGACCGGCACACACGCGAGTACCTGTAATTACACGCTGTCGTCGGACACGGATAAGGAATTGTCTAGCACGTCGACGCCGCTGCCGGTCGCTGCCGACGCGACGTATGCGGACAATGCGTCACCGGCGGCGACCGTTCCCCCGTCGGAGATAGCTACGAATCTCGGGGGTAAAGGGCTACCGAGAAAAACGATGAAGTACAACAGGAGGAAACGGGGAAGAGACGACGTGCAAAATTCACGCCAACAAAAATCGGACGCGCTCGCGAGGAAGCTCGGCGCGAAAGTGACGCAGTGTAATGAGAATCAGTTCGATTGTGATCTCGACGTCCAAAGAGAAGTTGCAAATAGCATACCCCGGGACACAGTCACCGAGACGATAATGGAGGTGTCCAGGTACACGGGCGGCAATTCGTCTGACGAGAACGACGAGAACGATGAGCAGGCGGTGAATAAAGACGTGTACAACAATCGTGATAGAGGCTCGGGAGGAAAGTCGCCGGTTCAGAATTGCCAGCTCGGTTTCAGTGAGCCTTACGACAGTGTGACTGAGACCATCATGGAGGTATCACGCTATATCGGTGAAGAAGATAAAAATGAGAGAGAAGACACAACTTATATCCCAAATATGCGTGCGTCGCAGGAAAAAATAAATACTGAAGACGAGGAAACGTGCGACAGAAGCGACATTGATCCGTCACACTCGGCCAGTTCGAGAGCACCTAGTCCGGCACAGTGGGATGCCGAGGAGATCGCGACAGCGGATGCAAAAGCGAACGCTACCTGCGAGACTGGAGCCAAATACGACAGTTCGCGGGACGCGCGAAGCTGCAGTCCTCTCAACCGTTCATTGTTCAGTCCGCAACACGAATCGCACATATCGGATCCGCAATCCAAAGAGAGAGAAAGTCTCGAGGATGTCGACAAGAGGAAGGTGGAGAAGCCTGTCGCGACGGCCGCCACTGAATCTCAAGCATCGGTCTCGTTTAACGCCGTTGCCTCTTCCGACAGGAGTTTGGTCATCAAGATTTGCAACAGGAACTCGCAGTTCAGCGTCGCGACGACCACCGTCACGAGCAGGGAATCCGAGGAGAACAACAACGCCGAGGGGTCGACGTCGAAGGAGAGAATGGCGAACGGTTCGGAGATGGGGAGGGACAGCATGGGCGACGATCAGGCGAACGAACTGGACGATAGTGATTCCGACAGCGATAAATTGGCGGTAGTAGACAGCAATCCGGAAGAAGACGAGGAAGCGGAAGACGTTGAGGAGGGCGAGGAGGCTGACGAGACTGAAGACAGGCACGACGACGCGGGTGACGAGGGCCAGAGGAACCGGGAGGAAAACGACGAGACTAAAACTGAGACATACGCCGACGGGTTATTCTCTGTCGCGGAAACGATGCCGATTGTTAACACCAACGAGACATCCGACGATAACGCGATTGCTGCGAACGAGCAAACGAACAGTCACACGATCGACAACGGTGGCATTGTATTGGCCGGTGAGGATGTCCCGTGCATCGACCTGAACGTCGAGGGCACTCTGGACAGCATGGAGCTGGAGGAGCTGCTGAAGTGTTGCATAGAGGCAGCCAGTCCCACCTGCGTGTACTGCAATCACGCGCGGTACATCGCCGTCAACGGCAGACAGCTGGGCCTGCACATGCTGGCGGAGCACAAGTTTCAGCCGCAGCACCCCGCGATAATCATACACGCGGAGCAGTTCACGGCGCGGGTGAAGAGGTCCCTCGACGAACTCGAGTCTCGTTACTTCAACCTGAACACGTATAACAGCGCAGACGGCACGTACAACGTGCCGAACGTGTTGATCTACGAGTGTTTTCACTGCCGATTTCACTCGACAGTGCACAAGGAACTGTATTTGCACAACCGAAAGATGCACCAGAAGACCATATTGATCTGCATAATGTGCAAATCGACATTCTACAGTTACAGCGAGTTGGTGTGCCATCTGTGTCCCGGTGTCTACTCGCCGAATGTCAATCTGCGGTATCGATGCTGCCTCTGCTCGGTGCCGAGTCTCCCGTCGGCGTTCCGACTGATGGTTCACGTGCGCAAACGTCACCATGCCTGCGACGTCTGTCTGGAATCTACGGGCAATCAGCAGCGTCTCTCGAATCACGTGTGGAAGCACAAGCTACATCATTTGTGTTACAGATGCGGCATCGCGTACCGCAACAAGCCGGACATCACGAAACATCTGTTCTGGAAGCACGGCACGGAGAGCGTACTGTGCCGAAAATGCCTGCAGAAGAAGTGGCCGCACATATATCACTTCTGCATACCGCCCACGGCGTTCGTCTGCGAGGAGTGCGGCTCGAGCTTCGGACGGGCGGTTGCGCTCAAGGTGCACAAGAGGTTGCACTCCGGCGATTTGCCGTACGGCTGCGACGAGTGCGAGCAGCGCTTCATATCGCGGAAGCTCCTGGCCAAGCACCAAGCGACCCACAGAGAGCCCGAACCGGAGAACGTTCTCGTAATGGATGTGGTCAACGCTCCGCTGACAGATAAGGACGAAACGGGACAGGACGTGTCCGTGGCGGCAACCGACGGGGAACCGGCGACGGGAGTCGAAACCACGTCGAAGAACGTCAAAGAGGCTGTGAAAAGAGTGGTCGACGTTTACGATCTGCCGCCGCTCAATCTGTCATCCGAAAGCGACACGGATAGCGAGGAGGAGAAGCTTACTCCCACGGAGAAACCATCGGAGAAGGAGAATATCGACGAGGACGCGGCGAAGAAGGACGAAATCACCGAGACAGCCGTCGCCGATGACGATGACGTTGCCGCGGTAAGCAACGATATAGTCGAGGTGGAGCGGAACGAGGAGGAGAAAAAGCAGGAAGCACGCATTATGGACGGCATTTGGGATAACTTCAAGACGTATGCTGCCAGTCTGGACGTGGAGGAATCTGCCAAGAATGTCGCGTTGAAAGAGAGCGTACCTGAGACCGACGCCGCATATTTGAGGAGTATCGTCTTTTCTGATCACGATTATTGCGTGGTCTATGCATCCGATAAAGAGAAAAACGAGGATCAAGCTGTTTCCAAGGAGAGTGACGCGAAGGTGAACGAAACCAAATCGGGAAGAAGTCCGTCGCCCGGTACTCCGAGTCGCAATACTGGCTGCGACAGCGACGCGAACAAACGGAAGACGAAGACCCCCAAGAAGAAGAAGCGTAGCGGCAGCACGTCGTCCACGAGCGACTCCTCGAGCGACACCGACTCGAGCAGTTGCTCGTGTGGCACCAACTGCAGCTGCAGCAGCTCATCGTCCGGCAGCTCCTCCAGTTCTAGCAGCAGCTCCGATTCCGACAGCTCCGCGTCCGAGAGTTCACCCAGGAAGCAATCCAGCAGTCGTAAGGACCGGAATAAGAAGGAACGGGAAGCTGCGCGGGAAAACAAATCGCAGTCCGTTGAGCCGGAGACTAAGCCGGAGGACAAGCCGGAGATCGCGATGGAGAACGGCCCTACGGTCCCCGAGGTGGTAACGAGCGAACCTTCTCCGGAGAAGCTGCTCTTACGGGAATCCGACTTGGAGACGGAGGAAACCGAGACCGACGAGGACTTCTACGACGAGTATCCGCAGTTACTCGCTAACAAGTTACTGGCGGAGAAGCGTAATCAATTGATGCTGTTGGCTACTGTAGCGCCGGCATCGACGCCGACCTCGACGCCAACCTCGACGCCGACCTCGATGTTGATGCCGTCGATGGAGCAACCATCGATGCCGCTGAACAACGGCAGTCTGGTCGCGGAAACGGCATTGCCGGGTCCGATCACGATGACCATCGAGAATCAGCAACAGCGGCCGCAACAGCAGCAGAAGAGGAAGGCGAAGACGAAGAAACGACGAAAGGGCGAGAGGAGCGGTAAGCGTAATGCGATAGCAACAGCCACCGTGGAATCGATCAAACTGAACATTCCCAAGGCACTTTACCAGAAGAATCCGGGATTCGTCGCGTCGTCGCAGCCTGCGACGCTGGCTGCGACGTTGCATCCCAACAGCAGGTCCTCCACGCCAAACCAATTGCTCGCTGCAGCGTGCAACGACTTTCACAGCAGCGGCAACGCTGCGAGCATGGCGATAGAGATGCAGCCACAGCAGCAAGCGTCATCGGCCGCCGCTGTCGTCGGCGTGCCGAGTCAGAACGTCGGTGGCAACAGCGGCACGGAGACGGAGAACAAGAGAGTCTCGAAGAGGAAACGCGTGCCGAAACGCTTCTACGGCGACTCGAGCGACGACGAGCCGCAGGAAAAGTCGTTCGGCCGATGGCGAAAAAACGAGCCGAACATCTGCACGGCCAGCACTACCATCACCACCACCATCACCACCACGATGCAGGTTTTCACGCCGCTGCCGCCAGCGACGACGATGACACCGCCGAATCCGAAACCGCTGGTGTCGAGATTATCCTTGAGCGGGAAGACTATCGTACAGACGTATGATAACAGGCCCACACAGGTTGACCAGGCAGCGATCCAGCAGCAAGCGACTCTACCCGAGGCATCGCCAATCGCGGCGGCGCCGACGTCCGCCACCGAGTCCGAGGGTCCCGCGGACAGCAGCAGCGACAGCAGCGAGTCCGACACGGAGAATACCGTAAGTCAGCCGACGATCAACCCGACGATCGTGCCGCCGGTTGGCGCGTCGAGCGCGGAGCGACCCGGCAAGATCTACTGTTACTGCCGATGCCCGTATGACGAGGTGTCGGAGATGATAGCCTGCGACGGTGACGACTGCCGCATCGAGTGGTTCCATTTCGAATGCGTCGGTATAATGGTGCCGCCCAAGGGCAAGTGGTATTGCCCGGACTGCAGGAAGAAGCACGGGATCGTGCAGAATGACGAGTACTGCGATTGATAGTTGCCGCGCGGAACGACAACGGCGTGTTATTACCAAATTCGAGCGATCGAATTCGTTGCTTTTTAGGTATAAATGCTAGAATTTTCCTCCTTTCTTTTTCACGAGCGTAACGAAAAGAAAAAAAAAATTGCTACACTGTTCCACGTTGATATTTTTCTTAAGCCGATACACAGAGTGTTTGTACATAACTATGTAAATACGTCTTAGAATTATAAGAATGAAATGAGGTTTTTGTGTACATTTCTTTGTACTTCTTTTAACGACAGCGTCATGTATAAATATAATAGTGTTGGTAGTTAGATGAATAAATAGGTAGGTAGGTAGATAGGTAGATAATATCTCTAGCAAGGTATTAACAACAGGATGTTGTTTCAACTACATCTGAATTAGCTTATAACACAGTATTGAATTGACGATTTATTAGGGTTCAAACACAAAAGAATAAGGAACAAGGAGTTAAAAATAAGGAATTAGGAAAAAGTCAATAAATCACCTCTGATTTCTTCCTAATTCCTTATGTTCAATTCCCCGTTCCTCATTCCTATCATTATGTCGGAGCCCTCATTATATAGATGTTTCATAAATAAGCGTACATTTTTATAGTGACGATATTACGTTGCTGCGAAACTGCACTCGTCAAGCGCGAATAAAGGCACAGTTTTAAATAAAAAATACAATATCGTAGTAAATACTGTATGATAATAAATATTGTCGCATGTCTACGAAATATCTTGATATAAGAATAAAATTAATACTATGTTATGAGCTAAAGAAGAATTTACGGCAATCCCGCAAATTTTCCGTAAGTCTGCGTTTACGCGATACCTTGTTGGCGATAGCATAGATAATGGTGCAAAATCGTACGCGAGCCTAGCAATGTGGCAGGGTTGCGTCTCACGAATTTTCAGGTCGCCTGGTACGCCTGCGGTTGCAGTTCTACCTGTGATCGTTGGCATTTTTTTGTTTTTTTTTGGCGGTGTCTGTGCCCCAGGTCTCAGCCATTCTCGTTGCGATCGACGCTCTAACTCTCGATATCTTTTCGTTGGTCGTGCAGGATCACGCTGTTATAAATGTATAACTCGTCGAATTTAATTTTCCTAGGACCATGGGTACGGAAACGACGAATGTCTTTTTTTTTTAATTGATATTTAATTGATTCTACTCTAAATTTTTTAATCGTTATACGCGCTAAGCGTCATCGATTGGTCTCTCTTTCATGATGACGGTGTACGGATATCGTTGCGGAGCGCTTCCTCAAAGCAGTGTGAGACCTCACGGGAGGCGAATCTTTCCTTGCTTCTAGTCTATCGTATAGGTATTGCCTTGGAATAAATTTTTATTCTTTCCGCAGTCAAACATCCTTTTCGCCGACAGTTTTTTTTTATGCCACGCAGAAAAAGCCGGTCTAATTGTCTCGCTGATTGTATTAATTTTATCGTAACATCGGGTTTACGAATATCGATCAACAGGTAGACAGATATTGTTCTTTGGCCATGAAACTGTCGATAAAATAACGACGCGTGGCAATCGCAAATAGTATAATATTAAAAATGTATATATGGAGTATGTCCATTGAAAATTTTTGCTGAACAGTATTACAGCAACAATTATGAAACAAACAATTAAGAAAACGAATTTACGTCATGCTCTTACATTATTACATTTTCCTCGAGTTTCGTGTACCGTTTATACATTTTTACGCGAATTGAAAAAAGAGCTAATGATTAATAAACGCCGACGACGATTCTGCCGGCGGTTCTCTTCTAGCGCCTCTCTTAATCTTACGATTAATTTAAATTTGAAAAAATAAAATAGTCGCGCACGCGGTTTATGGTTTATTAATCGCTTGCGTTTAACGGACCTTGTCACAGCGGTACATAGCTGTAAAAAAAAATCTCTTAGAGTACTGCAAGTAACCGTCGTGCTGATTTCCTCAATTGTCAGCCATAGTTTCCTCGAGCAATTCAACACCCATGATATCCATGGTGAAATCTTTGTAAGATATCCTCTGTATCATAACGTAATAATACATTACTCTTCGGGAAGCCTAATGATGAGTCTATCTTATTTATGACCCATTTGCATTAGTATTTATTAAGCATATTGTGAGCGAGATAATTACCGCCGGTAGGAAACGGAAATTGAAGGATAGGGATGTTTGCGACAGACTTGGTTGAGTCTGGATCATTTCCTCGGTGGGAGATGTGAGTGTTTTGAGATACGTATATGCCTCTTGCAAAGTCAACGGTTCACCTGCGATAAATGGCAATATAAATAAATAAGAATTATATATCGAACCACAAATATATAGAAGATATTTATTTTGAAAATAGTCCAGTTTTAGTTTTATCCTACATTGTTTATTGAAATTTTGATGAAGTCTCTATGCTTTCTTGTCCATTCAAAAGCACAATTTGCTGCATTTACCAAATATACATTTTATTTAAGACATGATTACAAATTTTAAAGAAGCAGAGCACATAAAGTGCTAAATAGAAATAAAATTAAATTTGGTGGATTCTCTTAGTTCACGATCGTAGTAATGTCAGTAATGATTTAAGATTGTAAATTTTTGAGAAATCTCATTTAGTCAATAAGCATCAATCAGTAGATACGGTAATCAGTGATTCGATAAACTTACCAATAGGCTTATCGCCTTCCATTAAATTTTTCAATATTGTTCCTCCGAGTAAAATATCTACAAGCTGCTCTCGCGTTAAAGTAGGATTTTCCATACTGGCATAATCCTCTTCGACGAATGTACGAAAAGCTTCCTTTATGTGGCGCACGCAAAGTATGAACGCGGGTCGGTGATTCACATACAGTCGCACGAATTCTTCAAAAGTGATCGCTTCGACAAGTTCACCACTTTCAGCGTAACGTTTGTACCGTATTTCTGCCATGATATTCTCTAGCTTAAAAATATAAAATATCTGTATTAGCGAATCTTAATTAGTACATGATATTCGCAATTTTTCAAACAAATAATGAAGCTTTTATTATGATTTTAGTACAATCAACACAAAAAAACAAGAACTTATTGCTTATTTGAATTTTAAAATCTGTAGAAGTTTAAAATGTAAAATGGATTTTATTTTCGAAAGTTTTTAACTTATGGCAGAAAAACGTTTATATAAATCAATCATTTCTCTCTGGATATAGATCTGAAAAGATATGATTCTATCTTTAGCGATCCTTTACTGACAATCCTATTATTTAATTTAAATGCATTTCTGACGAAAATGAATTTTTTTATCGATGATTAATTAAAATTTAAAAAAGAATCAAATCGGAAAAGAGAATAAATTCAAGTTTGTTAAAGAATTCGTCATTTATTAAAATTCTGACTGTTGAAACATTGTATGTGTATATTTAGTATTACGCAAAGATATACTTCTTTGTTAGTCGGATAATAGCCAATAGATCGCATAAGATTTGGAATCTGCTCGACAACCACAGTGTCGGAGACGGTTCTGGGTTCGGTCGTAATCTCGCCCTGATGTAATATCTGCGCATAATAGAACATATCCTTTATTTCATTTGCCAGCCATCCTTTCTTTCCGCCATCGATGAGGCAGTAAAACGGCGAAAGCCCTTCTCCGCCTAATCGCGCCATTATATCAACGGATCTGGAAGAATTATCTCTTTAATGGTAAGACTCATTATATGTCATTACGGCCATATTAGATGATGATGTCAGAACCGAGAAATTTAGCTTTATAATACAGATCGAAGTAAATGAATTGTTCGTGTATTACTCATGTTTGATAAAGCGAGCTTGCGTAATGTACGAGTGATTTTTCCTTCAATTTGTAAAGTAACAAATAATTGTATTTAAATTTTAACTAATCATCGATAAAATAAAGATTCATTAATCATCGATAAATAATTCATTTCCGTTAAAAATGCATTTAAATTAAATAATAGGATTGTTAATAAAGGATCGCTAAAGATAGAATCATATCTTTCCAGATCTATACCCAGGGAGAAATGATTGATTTATATAAACGTCGATTCAATATCTATATAGATATGGAACCAACGTCTATAAATCAATTATTATCTGAGCAAAAGACGAGGAGAGATTTATTTTAGTATTATGTATTGATAATAAATATGTGTAATTTCTGAATTTTAATTTATAAAAATTCAACACGGTTGCAATAAAAAGACAGCCAACCTCAGTTTGATTTTCCACATTAACATACACGGATCGTTGTGACCTGCGGTAAACAGTATTTTTTTATTGTTGCTGACAGAGATATTTATTATCTGCAAACAGAGGTGGATTATGATATTCGCATATGTGCCAGTTGTTAAACAATAAATACGTATTGTAGAGTGTAAACTAACTTTTTGCGGATGACCTGTCATGCCGACGACCTTGTATGGATTACCGTCGAAAGGCATTAACTGAAGACCGATTTCTCTATCCGTCGCGAATACCATGTAGCCGTTATTGTCAACAAGTTTGTCCGTTAAGATCTATCGACATTGTGACGATTTTTAACGCATTATAGTTGATTAATTACAAAGAGAGGGAAATTCTCTGATAAATGAGTCAAGAAAAAGAGAAAATTTGAAGTGAATGTAAATTTCTGAAAATACGTGGAATTATCGGGAAATTCTTTGTTCTTTAATTATTTTAAGTTATACGTTACGAAATATTTAACAAATATTTCTAAAGAAAAAATATCGCTTTAGTTATTTTAATACGTTTAATTTTTTAATTATTTTAATGACTTTTAAAATTTGATCATATTAGAGTATCTTTTCAATGTTCCTATTTTACGTTTTCCACTTATATAATTATAAATGTTACGTATATCTTATTAATCTCATTGCATTACTTGAAAATGTTCTACTGGTTCTTTGAACATCGGTCCCAAGTAAGTACCGCAAATAGCCTTGGTAGCGTGACTGAAGAGCTTGTACTTGTACTGTGATCATGAATTACGATATTATGTTTTGTTCACGCAATCTAGACGAATAGCAGGACTATTACTTCAGAATTTGAGATCATGAGGAATCTTTCAGTACTGGACTCGGGGTACCACGCTAGGCAAAGGGGAATTGCGCTCTGTTCGATTCGATCGATACGCAAGATTTGAAGTCCTGGCACTGGATACGGTCCGCTGTAATACAATTATAAAACGTAGCTAGCAAATTATAATTATTATCATCTTCAGATGCTTGGAAAATTAACTATTAGAGTTTAAATTGTTACGTTAATCCCGGACAATTTTATCACGATTTTGAAAAATAAACCCTTTAGTTGCTCTATTATGTTATAAACCGTTCAATTCAATGACAATATCTCCATATTATTCTACATACTTATATAATTCCATTACGTTAATCTTATTTATAATATAATTTTTTACTATAACGTTCATACAAATATTTTATTCGATTAAACCACATCTTTTATGCAATTTCAACGTAACGTAAATGTACTTTTACGATACGATACCTGTGTGCGAGGTCATATTCGACGAGCTCTCGATCCTCTCCCAAAGAGAAAAATCGCGGTGTATCGGAATCGGATGCGGGCGAACCAAAAAGTATATCTCTGATAGGTAAATAATGCGAGTGATATTTTCCAATCAAATTCCACACATTGCGCTCCTTTGAAGCGGCGATATCATTTCTCTTGAACACTACCACAGTCAACGCGTTATCCTACAAATAAAATCTCTTTATTGATTTTAAAAGCCGATGAATTTATTTAATTATTTTAATTCATTAAATTAATAATTAATTCAATTTGTCGTCATAACATGCAACATTATTCGCGAAATACCGTAGAATGTGAGACGGTATATAAATTGAATTTTCTTACTGCGTAAGCCATGTACTCGGTGCATCGCGCGAAAGCGATTTTATTAATGGCCGTCGAAGAATGCTTGTACGGTGTCTCATCTATAGGATCCAAGGTGATAGGATGTAGAATCCAGATTGCCCCGTTTTCTAAACCACACACGAGCATATCGCCTAAAAGAAAATTATTAGCATTCGCGAAGATTCTCTTTTCTTTCTTTACAGTAATAAAGAGACATTGGAGATTCGTCAGTATGTACATCTCGGAGAGAATTTTATAGCTGTAACCGCTTTCAAGGACTCGTGGCTTTCCGGACAGGTAACATAAATGAAGTTTTCATCAATCATCTGTTTTTCAAGAATTGGCAGGTAATCCGGAAGAGGCGGCGTGCTCCTGGCTATCATCAGAGTGCACGTCTCATGGTTGTATAAATGCACGGTACCCTGCGCGTCGCCCACAACCACATAATTCCTGTTTGCAAAATTATTGTTGTTACGTTCATTTCAACGGAATCCTGCTACAAGCCTGTTTGGAATTTTTCTACCTTTCTGGATGAGTGTCCATACTAGTCACGATTGCGACCGGATGACTAGTCACGAAGTGACACTTCTGTTTTCGAATTTCTATTCGCGCTATTATTCCCGTAGAAGAACCTAGAGCAAAATGTAAGATAAAAGAAAAATATCGTAATATAACTAATATAATATATCCAATATATTTACTACATGTATATTGATGTTTTAACATTATTTAATATACGAGTATAATATTGTTATATAATTCATATGATATATATCGCGAATAATTACAAGAGTTCTTACATGCAAGACAATTTCGGACATTAAATGGAAAATGCTGTAGAGTAGCATCCGTTGGCAAAGAACCCGATGTTTTTTCATTAGTTGCGGTGGGCTTATTATTTTTGTAATTTTTAAAAATATATTCTGCGTTAACAGTGAGTTTTGAAACTGTTTTCGTTTTGCTACTATCCTGACGTTCTTCTGATTTATGAAAATATATCAATGTTATGATTTGTATCTACTTTTTCTTTTTATTAAGCATTGACATGCATAACAAAGTCTTTGCTTTCTTGTTCATAGATATGGAAAAGCATATACGAAGGAACAATTTTGAAACAACGAAAGTATCAGGATTAAGAGAAATATAGAACAGATCTTAGCGAACATTTTTCTTTGAATTTTTCAAAAGTTTCATATAAATCTCTATATAATTTATTCTATACAAATTTTTGTATTTTTCAGAATTTCTGTATAAATTTATTACTGTTTAGAAAATTTCTCAGATTTTTTAAATCAATTAAAGTACTTTTTAAAAATATTAAGAAAATCTATAATTTTTCATGTAAATTCTGAAATATTCTAAAATTTTTTATTTTATAATTTTTGAAGAAAACAAAATCTTTAAAATAATTTTAAAAAACTTTTTAAAATTTTATATGATATATCAGAACTTTTTTCACCAAAAGGTTCTTTTAAAATAAAGCTTACTTTCAGATATATGATCAATAGTAAATACTGGAGCTATCAAATTGGATTGAAGATCGAAGCTTAGCCATCGAATGGAATCAAGATCGCAATTTTCACACCAATACAAAAGTCTCAACTGATAATCATAAAAATTAATACGGCCATTCGAATTTCCCGTAACAAGCATACTAAAATTATATATCACTTTCACATTAAGTACTACTAGATTTACTAGAGAAATTTTAAATTTATATACCCTTCGTTATCCATGATAACTGTAATACTGCTCTTTTGTAAATTAAGAGTCTTTTTGTGTTTCTTTTTCTTAATATTATTAGTGTGCTTGTCTTTGCAAGAAACATTATCCCATACCAAAACGCAGCCTGAAATAATAGCGATATAAAATAAATATTATTTAATAGGTAATCAGGCTATTAATAAATTATTAATAAAAACAGACGATACCATTTGTACTCGCTGTAAACACTTGTTGCATTTTCGGAACGTAGCATGATGTATTAAAAATTCCAATATGTTGAAATTTTGTCATAACTTTGGGACAATCGTAGCTCAAAGCTTGACCATTCTTAATCATGAAATTCAGAAGTAACATATAAATGTGTGTGTGTGTGTGTGTATGTGTGTGTGTGTGTGTGTGTATATATACACAAGAAATATATGTCGTAGCAGCTTTATATCCTAGGACGTTGATAGTAGCAAGATCAAATATTGGATGAAATTTTATATAAAACATTTTTTCTCCAGTATTTTTCTTTTTCGGTTTTCTAAAGAAAAAAAGCTTTTACGCTTAAAATAATGCTTACAATTAGTGTAGTAAAATTTAGCTATATACTTCATTTATAATGTCTTTTTAAAGAGAACAAAACTTGAAACTTTATGTAAAGCTAAAGAAAGTAATTTTGCGATACGAAATCGTATCACAAAATTCCATTTTTAATTTATTTGTATTATATTTCATTTAACAATTTCAACTAATTGTAAGAAATATACAATTACACATAACAATGTATTTTTTTTCACTAACCCAAGTTATGAACAAAACGTGATAATCGGTCGTCAATGCAAATTGTTCCGGACATTCGTTGTTGAAAGTTATTTCCTTGACACGTTCAGACGTAATGTCGATTAATGAAATCGATGCTGAAAATATTTTAAATAAATCAGCATAATTCTGGATTATTCAATAGTTGTAGATATCCTTAAAAATTTTAGCGATAACAACTTTGAATCTTTTTGTAAAAAGGTAATAATTATATAATAATATAAGAAGGAAGATGAAATTCTTGATAATATTATAAAAGTGTATATATAAGATAATATATACTATAAATTGGTACTTAATATTGTATTCAATTTTTTAAGACAAGGAAGTAAATTAACGAATGTATAGGCAGCGCACCATCCGGTTTATCCTTTCCGTAAGTCCACAGCCAGAAATGTACATTCTGAGATTTTTCATCGCCAACGGTGACTATTTGTTTGGCATTAGGACTGATACTGGCAGCTGTGATATCTTCACTACCGTGGGGATTGAATAACGTGCAAACGGGAATTCTGAGAATATTAATAATCCCGCTAACTTTTTGACACATTAAGTATCAGTAACATCGCAAAGCAATTCGTAAAAAAAAAAATAACTACCCCTTTTCTGTATCCCAAACCACTATTACGCTATCCTCCCCGGAATCTGCTGTTAACAACCACTTGCCGTCACGCGAGGTCGATAACATTCTAACAGCATTTCGCTAAAAAGGACAAGGTCTTTCTTCAGTATTATTATTTGCCAGTAATTGTTTCGCGGCAAATTCCCAAACGTATACCGACGTGACCCAGAAGTGGTAACATTTTCCTCAAATTGTAATCATAAATCACGGCCACGTGCGAACAGGCGTACGCCAATAGCGCACGATTTTCGGTAGTTAGATTTATAATAGGTGCTTCCGGATTTATCCCGAAGGACCATTGCAATTTCTAAAGAAAAGCAGTAATTTTTGTTAAATTTAAAAAATGCCAGATTCACTAATACATTATTTTTCTATGTTCTTTTTACTCACGAACGGGCAAAGATCGTGCTCCGTGTGTCCTTGCTCGAGACATTTTTTCTTCGCGTTTGTTTCAATACTTTTCGTATCTTTGGTAGTTTCGATTCGAGATTGATCAACGTCCGACGGAGAAGCGGCATTACACATCGCCATTTTATAACAAATGCGACTATAACAGTCAATTCATGGGATGAAGAAATGGAATTGAAAGTAGAATTCGGATTTGCATTTGATGACTTCGTCGATATTAGGCTGCGTTCCGTTTCACGCATTATGCAAATGATTTACCTTTCTAGTCTTGTTTTATTTGATGAATCATACATCATGCGTGAAACGGAACGCAGCTGTAGAAATAACAAAAATTACTTTTCATAAACACAATAACGTTTATTTAATAGTTTTAATATAATAATAATAGTGTAGTATAAATTTATAACGCAATTATTTATAAAAATAGTTTCTATCTTGTTATAGAAATGCAGTATCAATCTTGTGAATATTTTGCTACGATGGAGCCATGGCAAATTATTAAAAACGATGTACAAAAGCATTAAAGACTAACTGTATTTATTTGCTATTTGTCGCATTTTAAGACACTAAGATGAATAATTCAGTTTAAATAAGAAATTAACTTTGAACTGGTGAGGAAATGAGCTTTTGTTTTTACAAAAGAAATTGCTTTCGAAGACCATGTCAATCATGATTTCAATATTTCATTAATATTTATTTTTTTATTATCGCTATCAAACAGGTATTACGGTAATTTTTACAATGCGTATGTTACAAGATGCGTGTTCCTTGGAAAAACAATGTATATAAAAAAAGTGCTAGTGTGCCATAACGGATTATAACGGATCATGTGTTCTCTTTCCGAATTCTATTTTTTTTTTTTCACCGTTTTTATTTTATGCAATACTGCGGTATTCCAGCGCTCTCGTATGCAACTGCGGAAAAACTGTCACTCAGCCCAAAAGATATCCGCCTGAGCTCTGCCACAAAGAGTACGGGCCGCGTTGTCTCCTAACGGATAATCGAAAATCTGCGAATGTAATCGAGAGAAGTGCCGCCACGCGCGCATTGATCTAACTGCAGCAGCTTTGCGGTTTAGGATCCAAGCCCGAACGTTTGGTAACGGATATGCGTGTAAACTCCTCCGCTACAGTCGGATGAATACCGACGGTGGACTTCAGTTTCGGGATTGTTAGGCCACATCTGCGAAAATACAAGGAAATATAAGTTAGGTGGTTAAAGATCAAGTTTTTAAAGAAATTATTATGGCAAATTGTTATCGGGATCGAGCGCTTACTTAATAGCAGCCGCGAATCCTTGAATCACTTCGCCTGCGTTGGGTCCGACAAAGTGCATTCCAAGCACCTTCTCGTCGCCGTGTCTAAGCGCGACGACCTTCACGTAACAACGATCGACATTCTTCTGGGGTACGAAGAATTCCGTTGGTTTGTAATACGCGTGGAAAATCTCTACCGCGTCTTCCCCGTGGTTCGCGATTGCCGCCTCTTCGCTCAGCCCGACGCTCCCGTATTCCAAAGGAGTAAACACTGTCGTCGCTACATTTGTGTAATCCATTTTCTCGGTCGAATTACCAAACAGTCTTCTGGCGAGCAGCTTACCCGCGTGTATAGCGACCGGCGTTAGTTCGGGTTTTCTCTGCAATAAACATACGAAAAATTATCATATTGTAAATAATATGTAATAGAAGAGCTAATGAGCCAAGCTAAATACATACTAATACATGCTAATAATGTATATCAATAATAATCATGTCAACGTATAAATATTTCAACAATTTGATTTAAAAAATATAACGACTATAATCGTGTTGTATTTATATTGTGTTACAATTTAAATTCTCTGTTGCATTTAACTCACTATAATTAAATATTAGAATATTTCTAATATTATAAATATAAATATTCAAAATTCAATAAGATAAATAATTAACGATTGAGCAAATAGAGAAATGTAACGAAATAGGTAAAAATTAAGTTTAATAATAAAATTAATTATAAAATAGAACGCGTTTCGAATTCACAGTCTTCTTCAGTTAATTATATAGCAACCATAGAATTGAAAAAATCGATTAAATAATATAGATATATATCTATAAATTCTTAATGCAAAAATTAAATTAAGTATATATAGAAAAATATTTAAAGAATTATCTAAATCTCAATTCAATATTTTTTTTTATACGAAATATTGAAAAAACTTACATGAAGCACATCGCCAACCGCGTAAATGTTTTCAACGTTCGTCTGTTCGTTAATTGCGTCGATCTTGCCAGTTTCCGGAACAAGCTTCAACCCGGCGTTTTCCGGTTTCAACTCTTGAGTGAGCGATCGTCGGCCAATAGCAAACAGAATGGTATCGTATGGATCATCTTTATGAATTTCGCCGTTCTAAAAGAAATTCAAATTATAAAAACACTCGAATGCAGTTATTTCAATCGTACATATAAATCTGTACAATTTGCATACTTTGTCAACCCAATCAGCCTGAAGGCGGCCATCCTCTCGTTTCGAAACCTTTTTAAGATGCGCCCCATATTCGAATTTCACGCCGCGTTGCTGCATCTCCTCGGTAATGTGTTCTGCCATTTGCCGATCAAATCCACGTAACGCGATCGATCGAATCATTATCGTCGTATCGTAGCCCAGGCCATTAAGAAAGCCAGCGCACTCCAGACCGATATCTATATCTCATCGCTAAGGAAAATCTCAATTTGCACAATTACAATGGAAAGTCTAAAAAACAAATCGTATAAAATGCCATGGAAAAAGGATACATCCAGCACCGACAATGAGGGTTTTTCCTGGAGCACGCTCCAAACTGAAGATATCGTCGCTAGTTATACCGTATTCTAAAGCACCTGGAATATCGGGATACCTAGGTCTACCACCTACCGCGATTAATATGTTTTTAGCCGTAAAAATTTGTTCCTCTCCCTTTTTGTTAATTCCAACTACCGTGTGTGCGTCCTTGAAATGTCCAACAGAGTTGAAATAGCTAACTTTCCTACGGATAAATATTTCAAAGAGGTAAATACTTTTATCGAAATGCCTTGATTTTATGAGGTTTATTAAAAATTAGAAAATAACCAACTTTGTTCTGAGTTCAACGCGAGTGACCCAGTTCACAGACTTGATGTGATTTTGTACGGCAGTTCTCAACTCCTCCCAGTTGATTTTCACAGTCTTGGGATCCAGCTGCCAACCGAATGTTGCAGCTTCCTAAAAACGATACGATTCATCAGATCAGACACGAATCCCATTTATCACTTTAATCGCAATAGTTAGCAACGTTTATGTACATGAATAGCTTCGCCGAGCAGTGCGGCTTGATGCATGAGTTTTTTCGGTATACATCCCACGTTGACGCAGGTACCGCCCAAGCCCCAAGTGGTGCCCATAGGAGAGGGCGTTACATAATCCAAAACTGCGACCTTCGCGTCTAGTCCCACAGCTTCCTTAGCTGCTGCCAGGCCACCGGATCCTCCGCCGATTACCAAGAGATCGTACGTGTAGTCCTGCTGATCCGCTGAAAGGATGATTTTTCTATTTGTTATACCTTGTATAAGAACTTTTTAACGAAATAAATGATCAGAAACAGTTAAACGTTACAGAGCTGTAACGCTCAACTTTTTGTAAGAAAAAAAAAACAAATAAATAAAAGAAACTTTTCACGCGGTCAATAGAGACGTCTAAAAAAAAAAAACCTCGCGTCTAAAAAGACCACACGTCTCGAGTGTCAAAATTCATTATCATAAATCAAGTCGCGGATGATCCTCGGGTCGGTTCGAGTTCGCGCGCCAGCCGGTGTCGCAACTTTTCTTTTTACATAACAAACCGCAATCGCGACACTACTCGTCGGTCGGTACCTTCCCTCGGACACTCACTGCACATGCAGGCCATCGCGCTTCTGCCATAGGCGAAACCGGCGTCGCATCCGGCGGCGAGGAGCGGCCGCCGACGCGCTAACCCGTGCAACTTGGCGTGCGCGCATCGAGATGACACGAGCCGCGCGAACACCGTCAGTGTCGCCATGATAATCGGCGACATGCAATTTTTCACGATTGTCGAAGCACGTGACGTCAGCCGTCGGGCGTCGCGGCACCGTCGCAGTGACTCGCGGTAGTGATGCTCCAACGCCACGCCGCGCCGCGCACTGGCGAGAAGCGAAACCGGAGTGAGAGGCCCGAATACGCGTGTCGTGGTCACGCTATCAGCCGCTAGCGGCTAGCCGCACGCCACAGTCCCGTACAGCACACTCCGCGCTCCTCGCCCCTTCAATAACGACGACGACGACGCCAGTCTAGGTGACCGGGAACCGCGGGCGCGATGAGATCGATCCTTATAACCGGCTGCAACCGCGGTCTAGGCCTGGGCCTGGTGAGGCATCTGATCGAGTCGCCGAGGCCGCCGGACCGCATCTTCGCCACTTGCCGCGACGCGAGCAAGGCGACGGTAAGGAGACCGCGCGGGGCGAGACGGGCCGATGCCACTCCGATTGACGCGCGTTATGCAACTCGCGCGTGTGTGAAAAAAAATATACTTACCGATCGGCGCCATCGCTACTCTCTTTGCTCCTCGCGCGAAAGAATGAATCTTTTCCAGATTTGTCTGGCGTGCAACTGAACCGTCGAGGTCCCTTCTCTTACTCGTTCCACCACTGTGCGCCAAACCCGATTCGAGCGACGGTTAAAGTCACACTGACACGGGACACCGACGAACGTCGGCCTCGTTAACCACAAGCCTCCGTCACCGCCATCTATTATACGTCATCCTTCCTCCCCGGTTTTCCCTTCCCGTCGCCGCGATTTTGCGCCGGTGAGTCACGATGCGAACGCGCGATCCGTACGCGATACCGATATTCGAACGTTGCGCAAGTCGGAGCGTCCAGGACCGGTTTTTTGCTCTATCACGGCCTGGCGAAGCCTGGTTGTCGAGATACAATCGCGAAGAAACCCTTCTCGTCGCTCGCGTTTATATACGAAAAGAGGGAATACAAAAATGAGGGAAATCTTTGCAGGAGTTACGCGCGCTCGCCGACAAATCGTCGACCGTACAGATCATCGAGATAGGTAAGCCAAAACTTCTCGCTAGTCTGTCAAGTATTCATCCTGAAAAAATTCATCCTGATTGACGCAAAGGAATTTGAAATATCGGATCGTTCCGCTGGAAGAATTATCTTGTTACCGTCGCGACGAAACGTTCTTGTAAAATAAAGACGTGACTGGGATGATTTGCAATTATGTATGATGAAATCTCTCGCTCTCCAGTTGCATACGACTAATGCCTATTTATACCCATTTGTAGATCAACTTTAATCTTGATTTAACTTACTTTTTTATCTTCTAATTCTAAGAATTGAAAAAAACGCAATGTACTACGCGCTCGCGACACGGCAGTGAGACCGATAGTATTATCTGTATCCGAGTAAACCGATATTTAACGAATTCGCGCAAATGTTACTGTAACATGTACGTTGAAACGTCATCTTTCAAAATATGCCAGATGTCATAACTCGATATGACTTGATTGATCATGACATGAAATAATATATCTAATTGGTATTGCATGAGTTGCAACACTATTTTTTTAAAATTCCTACGAACTTTTCGAGCAACTTAATAAATAAGGAGATTATAGCCTTAACATTTTGTTTGCAAATTACTCTGTCATGAAAAACGAACGCGCTGCAATAATATTATATTCAAATGTAATTGCAATATTGCGCTATTCCAGATTGAATTTTTTTTTCATTTTATTTTGTTTATTATAAACGCCAGTAATTCGAATTAATCGATCATCGATTTCAAGCCGGATTTTAATTTAAAAAATATTTGTATTCTTGTAAAAATTTCCTGACCTTTATTGAAATTCATACTGTTCTCTAAACCATGTGTCGATTAAAACAACTAAAAAAATATCCTAATTAATTTTTAAAAAAACTGGTTATACTGGTTATACCGGTTGTAGCGCGGTGATAAAACAATGACATAAACAAATTTTTAGCCCGTTGATTTTATGAGAATACCTTAAGCAGACTGAATATTCTTATAGAAACATGTTTTAACTATCGGGTAAAGAACAATGCTAATATATTTACCTGCGTGCGGTGACGTGAGAAGAATATTTTGCTGCTGATCCTCCACCTTATTGTCAACGTTGCCATCTATCTCCAATTTGCTCTCTGCTTCTTTGTTTTTTATTTCATTCTCGGCATCACCCTCTGTTGCACTTCCTGCTTTATTCTCCGTTTTATCTATCTGATCTTCCTGTTTGTTCTCCACTACATTCTCGACATCGCCCTCTGTTTCGATCTCTAGTTTATTATATTTCTCTGGTTTATCTATTTGGATCTCCACTTTGTTTTCCACTTCGTTCTCGACATCGCCCTCCGTTTCGATCTTTAGTTTATTATATTTCTCTGGCTTTTCTATTTGGATCTCCACTTTGTTTTTCACCTCGTTCTCGACATCGCCCCCTGTTGCGCTTTCTGCTTTATTTTCTACTTTCTCTATCTGGTCTTCCAGTTTGTTCTCCACTGTATTTTCATCATTGCCCTCCGTTTTGATCTCCAGTTTATTCTCTGGCTTGTCTATGTGGATCTCCACTTTGTTTTCCACTTCCTTCTCGACCTCACTCTCCGTTGTGCTTCCTGCTCTATTCTCTACTTTGTCAGTCTGTTCTTCCACTTTGTTTTTCACTTCGATCTCGACATCACCTTCCATTGAGCTTCCTGCTTCATTCTTTACTTCTTCTCTCTGGTCCTCCACTTCGTCCTTCCCCTTATTCTCGACATCGCCCACCGTTATGGTCACCAATTTATCCTCCGTCTTGTCTATCTGGTTCTCCATTTCGTTTTCTACTTTATTTTCGACATCACCTTCCGCTTCGCTCCCGCCTTTATCCTCTGCCATGTCTACCTGATTTTCCATTTTGTTTTCCACCTTATTCTTAACATTGTCCTCCGTTTTAATTTCTAGTTTATTCTCTGACTTGTCTATTTGGATCTCCACTTTGTTCTCCACTTCGTTCTCAATATCACCCTGCGTTTTACTCCCCACTTTATTTTCTATCTTGCCTATCTGGTTCTCCACCGCGTTCTCCACATCGCTCTCCGTTTTGTTTTCCGTTTTATTCTCTGTCTTACCGTCTATTAGCCTCTCTGTTTTACTCCGCGCTTTATGTTCCTCGGTTTCTTGATCGCTCGAATCAGAATTGATTGTTTGCGATCTTTCGCAACAAACCAACCATGCTTTCACCCTGTTCGCTTTGCGCGCTTTCATACCCGTGCACCAGACACAGATGCGAAACGAGGAAAAATAAAATCCGAACGCGATCGCAAACGTCTGGAGCGGAACACGTCGCAAATATTCCTATTGTAGAAAAAAAAGACGCGATTTTGCCGAGCCTGTACTGATCGATACGTGCTATCTGATAAGACCTAGCTCTAAGTTTTCAACTTGAGAAACGTTGAAGATCAATCCTTTCTCGCGCGCGATAAGGAAATCAATTTTCATTCTTTATCGGCGCGTGATGTGCGACTATCCGTTAAAATGCGATAAGGAGAATCGTCGCATTATATTTAAACAGTTGAATTCACATGCGTTACATGCAAAAATATCTCTACGTCACGTCTCGCGTGTAATAATTCGTCGATCGATGTAAGAAACTCAATAAGAAACACTCAATAAGAAATAGCAACATATAAATCATATATTCGGTTCTCTGTAATTTTTAATAAATAAGAGTAGAGTCGCGAAACTGCCTGATTCTTCAAATTCCTTTAATTTCCATAAACATTTTAATTGCCACAGCACCCTGCGCTTAGCGTTGCGCCAAGTCGAACAATTCTTGCAACATGACTAGAACTTCAACAGTCCGGAAATCTTTAAAAATATATCGCGGATATAACTTTAGACTTGTTTTTGTTATTTACTCCTTTGTCTATCTTGTAGATTATAGATATTAAAGTGGAGTAAATATTAAAGATAACTCAACTGTTTTTTTTTCTCTTTTTTTTTTTTTTAGAAAAAGTCTTAACATGTTTTCATCAGAAAGAGCAAATATATTAATTTGAAACCCCTGTAACATAAAGCGGCGAATTTTTCTGAAAGTTTCCCTTCAGGATTATGAACTTTAATTAAAATTAATGTGATATTAAACTTGTGGCAATATATCTGTTTCATGATTTTATTAGAAATAAATTATGAATTTTATTTAACCTTATGATGTCAGGTCGAAGCAGTGACAGAATTTCTTTAATTTTAATTTTAAATTAAATTTTAATTTAAATTTCTGTAACTGTATTACAAACAGTCTGACGAAGATATAAAAAATGCTGTGTCACGTCATTATGTCGGAAAGCCCTCAATGACATATGCTGTATCCTCTGATAAATGTGCTTGTATATAATACAAACCAGATTTATCAAAAATTTACTGTGCAAAACAAAACTCAAACCTACTTTTCACAAACATGTAGCTTAGAAAGTTCTAGCATCGATCGTTCGAGCGAAATAACTTTACGCTGTCTCTCTTTTTTTTTTTACAGATTTAACGGATACGGATAACTATAAGAGAGTCGTAGACACGGTGAGCGAAAAGGTAAATGGCGCCGGTCTCAACGTTCTCTTCAACAACGCTGGTATTTCCAGCAAATTCACGCGTCTCGGCCTCGTGAAGAAACAACAGATCATCGACGCTTTCCTCATAAACACCGTGGCGCCGATTATGCTAACAAAAGTACGCCTACGGTCATTTCACATTCATGAATTTTACATTGGCGAATAGCGTCGGTTCATAACTGAGGAGGTAACAATTGATTCAAGGCTTTCCTGCCGCTGCTGAAAACAGCTGCGAAAAATTCCGAGGATAAAACGGGACTGAGCGTGAGAAGAGCAGCGGTCATCAATATGACATCTGTTCTGGGCAGCATTGCCGAAAATAACGACGGCGGTTTTTATCCTTACAGATGCAGCAAGGTAAAACTTTTCGAGGCTCAAAATATTGTACATCTCGAAATGCATAACTGCGTTTAATAATATTTGCAAAGTATGTTACTGTGTTTGTATAATTCATAGATTTTTACGTTTTTTTTTTTAACTGGGAAATCTATGCTTGGAATGTTACGCTCTGAGATCAATACATACACATAGTTGAAACACTTGAAATAATTTTGAGAAATCTTATCTAATCTCACTTGCAAAACAGGCGGCGCTTAACGCAGCGACAAAATCGATGAGCGTCGATCTGAAGGCAGATGGAATTTTGGTGACGTGTTTACACCCAGGATGGGTGCGCACCGATCTGGGTGGCAGCAACGCTCCGATGGACGTCGACACCAGCGTCAGCCGTATTCTGGACACTTTGAACTCATTGACGGAAGAACAAACCGGTTGTTTCGTGCAGTACGACGGTAAAATACTGCCCTGGTAATCAATCAGTGGTCAAGTAAAATGTTTAATCAAATAAATCTTTTATACATAATGTTGAATACGTATGAATTTTTAAATATTTTAAACTAAATATTAAATATACATTGTTTGTGTTAAAAAAAAAACCAATAAATAAATATACATATATTTTTATTTAAAAAAAAACTTGCAAAACGCGAGGAATATTCTTCGAACTTTCTACGACTTATCTTGTCAAATTTCGACTTGATGTTTCATTAAATAAGTGGAAATACTATTATAAATTAGATACTTCCACAAATCACACACATTTTTTTACATTTTGAAATAATCGCTATAACAATTTAGTGAGAATACCTCTGTATCTGAAGATATTCTTACTAATTTTTATATCTTTATACAAACATGCTACAAATTTATTATGTTTTCATAAGCGATGTATGTACTGATTGAGATCCAACTATTTTATTCGTATGAGCCCAAGCTTATTTTGTACATGTCACGGTGCTATAACGTAACGCAGAGGAATGCAAGTTCTATAGTATCGATAGATAGAAAAGAAAATGGTACTCGAGATATATACAATGACTTTTAAGGACTATCAGAAGCATGAACTGTGTGTGAAGGTAAAATATATGTATATGTATGTACGTGTTTTTTTTTTATAGCACTTGTCTTACTTGCAAAACTAATCATAATAGCATTCGAGTATTTTTACAAGGATACGTCCCTTGGTGCAACAATATATCGTTATAGCGAGAAAAATATAGTTTCAAAAGAAAGTAATACTGCAATGTTACTACACAATCGCCACGAATGTACAATCCGCTTCATTATCGAGACTTTTTCAACGCTCACAAAGTCACTTTTACAATTCTCGTATCCTAAAATTTTGAAAGAGTTACATGTAACATGTGTATTACTTTACTGTTCCCGAAACGGGTTACAATCGCCTCAAATCAAACTAATCTTTCACTCAAAATTTCAATTCTTTAATGAATTTCTTGTGAATCGATATGGAATGAGAATCAGGACTGAACTCAGGACCTACGCGAATCGATCGCTTCTACATAGAGCTGCACATCACTTCTGGAGGTATTATGTAGAAATCAGAATTTAATATAAATAGATCAAATTAGGATGATGCGTAGCTCAGTGCAGTAGCGTCAGTGGAGCGGTTGATTCGTAGTCGTACTTCTCAGATTCTAAGTTCGATTCCAAGTTTCGTCCTGTGTACACTTTATAAGTGACTGATTCAAGAGGTAAAAATTTTGTGTAAAGGTAATATACATACATATACATAAATGGATTGAGCACTCGCCTGATTTCATTCTATTCAATTAGCCGATCGTTGTTTCTAGTCTCTAAATTCAATGAGGAAATTCGTAATAAATTCATATGTAAAAAAATAAACTCCATTATACGCAATTCAAAACGTTTCGTAGGACTGATACTATTTGTAGTTATATAAGTATATGTATGTATATATAATATATATATATATATATATATATATATATATATAAAATTAACTATATCTCACTAAATTTGGATGAAACAGAAAAGAAAAACTTTTCTCGCAATTCATCCATATTGAGAGGTATGACTTAACGCAAAATTATCAAGTGCAAATTCACGAAGGAGAGATAGATTCCTAAATGTGTCAACCTCTACACGACGTTGGCGGTGATGCTGATTGCGGGTCGAACATTAGTCAGTCTTTAATCTCTTGGGGGCGGGTTCGCTGTTTTGCGAATTGGAGTCCTCCGAAAAGCCCAAGTGTGCAGAGAAATCTGTCAGCCCTTGGGAATCGCTAACGGTGGAGAAACCTGGCGGTGACAGAAAATCCGTATTTCGTTAAACCACAACGATAACTTTCTCACAGGTAACTTTCACGAATTACCAAAAAACCAAACTCACACGTATTGGAGTCTTCTGTAAGTCCGAAATTAGAATTTGACGAATCTATTCCTCCTTTCCTCGGCAAACCGTTCTCCTTGTCGGAACCAGTCTTCCCTTTTTTCTTCTACAAAGTACATTCATTCTTAATTTGAGCATCCACTCTGATTAATTTTAATCAGCATGAATTATTGTTCTTGCGTGAAGTACCTGATCTAGTGTCGATATCGGAACCCATTTATATATTTTCATAGTCGTTTCTCCTATTGTGACCCATTTTTTCTCCCTGCGACCACATACAAATTCAGAATTCTGTTATGTATTTATTACATAAGTAACGATTTTCAATAGAACGTAAAAGCAAAAACATTCGTTATTCATTACACAATAAAGGAAAAAATTCGTCATTTTTCAGAGCCAAACTATATGTTATATATACTATATGTTATATATATAGCTATACGCTTGTCCTTGTTGCTGTGACAGACTCTATCACTCTATCTGAAGCTCAGCTAGGAAATCGTTGATCGAATTGACGATATTCTTATCCGAGAACGTACGTTTCCAGCGGATTAAAAACATGACAGCACAGTTCCTACATAATTTTAATACTCGAAACGGGCATTTCAATTTCGAACATCAGCGACTGGCCACGCAGTCTCTCATTAGCGTTTTCGCGTGCACGCCCTTCGCGACAATTGAAACGGGGACGAAAGCACTTGTCCCACGATTTTCGCACGATTCACGATTCCTTTTCCGAGAAGCCAAGCGCCGAGAAACGAGCGATAAACGACAAACGGCACGCGTGCCGGCGATTCCCTTCCGCCTTTCTCTCACCCTTCGACACGGCACAGGGAAACTTACCAATGGCGAACTTTATCAACCACTTGCATCACACGTTTAATGTCGTCCTTGGCGCGACTACGAGTCTCCGCGCGCACCGACCGCGACATCATGTTATTGTTCACGCGCGAATTTAATCACCGGTAATCGATTATTGCACCAGTTACGCGGCACCAGAGACACCGGGACATCCGTGAGTGCCGCGAAGAGGTTAGGAAAGTGACAGGCAGAGAGAGAACAAGAACCTCTACCACCCGCAACTCATATCCCGCGACCCGCAGGTTCCGACTTCTGCCCCCCGTTTCCTCTTGCCGAGCCTCCTCCATCAAGCTCGACACGCTTATGTTTTTAGGTTCTTGCGATTGGTCGCCCGACTTGTAGATTTAGGGAATTTTAGACATTGTAGACACTAGACTTGCGACGACAGAAAATTCGCGGCGGTCAATTTCCCTAGGAATAGAGCGACTGGACGAAAATCAAACCATGAAAACACATATTTTAAAAAAAGAATTTAATTGGCAACGCTTTAAACTTATTACTACTATTCGCTACTTGAAAAGTTATGTTATCGATGCTCAAGCAAATGTAAATTAAAAATTATTACAAAAATTTTTAAAGCAAGTAAAATTCCTTCCAGGGAGGGCAGGGAGCTTATTTTCTAATTTTGAATAAGCCGCAACAATGAAGCAGTTCTTAGATCCAACCTAACCTATATCTAACCTATAATTCTATATCTTTTGACTGTGATTTTAGCCACTTTTACCTTAACCAAACTTATGCCTAACCATCGCTTCTAGTTGTAGTTGTTATATTTATATTGTATGTTAAATACGTATCCAGCGAGTAAATAGATAATCTATTTCTATTTTTCACGTGATATCTCAAAGATTGATGTACTTTGGTGAATATGAGCGAAGCCGGCGAAGCGAAAGAGGAGAAACCTCGCGAGTTCGAGTGGATGGTACGCGCGATTACGCCTGTATTCACGTTACTTCGGACATTTTATCAATTCGCATTCCTCTCCTTCCAGGTGAGGCCGTGTATGATCTACAAGGATGAGTATGACGATTGCACCGGTGTGAAAGCTCGTTTCCATCAGTACTTCATACACGGCGAAACGGTCGACTGCAGCCAGTGGAAGACCGATTACAAGAACTGCTATCAGTGGGAGAAGTACAAGTCGGAGGAGGCATATGTACGTAGGTTGCTACGATCGGCGTTTCGCCGTCGACGAACGCCGGCGTCTGGATGCGTCGCGATCAAGTAACACCGGAACGAATGTGTGTCTTTGCAGAACGAGCTGATCAAGAGCGAGAAGCAGCGCCGGGCGAGGCGATTGCACGCGCATTACCAGAACGACGTCTGGGAGAAGAGGGAGAAACCGCCGGAGAACTGGAACGCCCCGCTGCCCGAGTGGATGCAGAAGGAGTTCCAGAACTCGTATCTGCACATACGGAGCCAGGAGATTAAGCAGGGCACGGAGGCGTCTTCCCTCGACACGAGGTGCACCATATTATAGCAGCGAATCTCACGTGTGTGTCTTGAGATTTTTTTAAGGCGCGTTCGTGAAAAAGCGCTGTGTGTCTCTTTAATTGTCATTTGTCAAACGTAAAACGTAAAAAGGATAAAATGACGCGATAAAATAACGTTGATCTTCGAGCGTGCCTTAAGCGTATAAAGCCTGTTGTACATACATGTATTTATTATTTAAGCCGAGAGTCACGAGCGTTCAGTAATATACATATATATATATATGTATGTGAAGTACGTTTTGCAGCATGTGAATAAATATGCCATCATGACGTAACGCTCGATGTCTTGACCTTGCGCCAGATACTGGCGCGATTTACGATGATACACATCCTTTAATTTTGTCAACAGAATTCACCGCTCCGCCGGCGAATTGACACGAATGGATAAACGACGAAATAAGGTAAACGTACCAGTGGCTGAACGTGTATCTATGTCTGAACACGTACAAAAAATTTATTAATCTCAAATACTTTTTTTATTATAATATCAAAATTTAATTGTAAAAATATTTAAAGATTACAATTAAATTATAATATTATGAAAAAATCATTTAAAAATAAATCTATGTGTACTTGTTCAGACATAGATACAAGTTCAGCCACTGGTACGTTTACCTTACGTCCATTCGCACTTTGCAAATTTATATAATAATTTTGAATTTTCGAATCGATAAACTTTATCGCGAGGCGCGATCGAGCGAGGGACGATTCGATTCGATATTAAATCCGATATATAATGCGGGAACACATCCTCGATGCCGAAAGCGTCTCTCCCGGCTCTGAAGAAAGAAGGGAAGGCTAAAGGTACGATTTCATGCTGACGCTCGACACTCATTTTTAGCGTCAAAATAGATCACATGATCAAAATTGACGAATTGACCAAGCATCAATTTTGATCATGTGATCTGTTTTGACGCTAAAAATGAGCGTCCGGCGTCAGTGTGAAAAGGCACCTTAAGAGCTTCGGGACTTAAATTTCGATTATTTACGATCACGTTCTTTCTCAGCATTTTGAATCCATTCGTTTCCCGCGAAGGAAGTAACGTTCTCTCATCGCGACGAAGCGCGCACGCGCGACATTTGTCTTCGCCTTGAACCACCGAGCGCGACGCGCGACGGCGCAGAATCTCGCGGAGCGGAACGACGCGTCGAATCGTTACGTCGGTAAGGTCGCGGGTGTCGAGCACGATGCGCGGTCTTTCGACGGCGCGCCGACGGGCGATCTCCTAGTGCGTCCTCGTCGCGAGGAAATCGAATGGGAAAGGAAAGATTCGCGGGAAGGAAAGATTCGCGCGGACGCGGGCAAGCGTAATTGGAACGCCCTGCTGCAGTGTTTCGAACGTCGCGGCGCGCGTCCCTTCCACCCCTGCTCCTTTTTCCCCACCCCCGTCGCCCCCCTCTCGTAATTGCGCCGCTCGTTCTTTCCGTTACACATACGCGCGCGTGACGTGCATATACGTGCGTGCGTGCGTGCGTGCGTACAACACGTATACGCACTCTCGGAAATCTAATAGCCGAACCATGTCCCGCCGCGCGCGTCCGTAGTGGTTGCCCGAGTGTGCGACGGTGTGCGACGCGGGGACGCTCTCCGCTCTGTGAATGAATGACATAACTTATATATAAATATCGCGAGTCGCGTGCTGCCGTGCGTCGACGCCGTCGAGGACGCCGGAGAGTCCGGTGCGCGGGTGCGATCGGAGTCGGGAGTATCGACTCGGGGTATAGCGTCCCATTGTTCACTCGAGGCTGTGGCACGTAAAACGTGGTAAAACGCCGAGCGCGGAGGCCGGCGCGTCGAACGCGGAGCAAAGCGTGTAGCGTAGCGTATATCGTAGCGCGCGCGCACAGCAGCGGCAGCGGCGGCGTGCACAGCCGGAGCGGAACGAGAACCCGGAGCGGGAGCGGAGCAAAGCGGCGCGGCCGTGGCGTGGCGTCGTCGTGGCGCGTCGCTCCTCGAGGCACGTGCGTTTTTTTTACGAGCGGTCCGCGAGCGATATTTCATATATATACAATGGCCGCTGACTGCGTGGCGGACGGCGACTACCTCGGCGAGTACTCGCGCTTCTTCGCCGAGTTCGTCGCCAGGGTGAACCCGGACGATCAGCTGCCGGTGAAGGTGAGCGTCTACGACGTCAACGAGAGCGAGCTCGTCGGTGAGATCATCAGCGTCACTCTGCAGTACCTCAATCGGATGTAAGCATATAAACGCGTTTTGCTATTTGGATTAATCATCCCTGTGGGAGTGGTAATGCGAGCTGTCACGCGTTTTTTCACGCGTGCGTGTGTATGTTTATGTTTGTGTGTGTGTGTGTGTGTATGTGTATGTGCGTTTGACATACCGCGTCGAGATGCCGAAACCTCGCGCGATGCGGCTCCGCGCTGCGCCGCTCCGTCTCCTCGACGCGCAGACTCGTCGCTTTCTAAATTGTACAGGCAGATTGTATCTTTTATAAACAACAAACTCGGGCATATCTAGAAAAAAAATATTAGAGAGATACGCGTGTTTGATTGACTTTCAATCGTTCTCATAAATATAGAGATTAGATTTGATTGCGCAGTTAACTGATGTTTCATTATTTCTATAGATATAGGAGCGGCAAGAGACGCGGAGAGTAATTTCATACTTCAATTTTCACTAATATTATGCAAACTTTTAAGATACGTTATTACGCTATCCATTTATTCATCCTTTCCCGTGACAAGACTCGTGTTCGTAAATAAATTAAATGAGAATTACTTTTAACATAAAATTTTAATCACTTTATGTTAAATAATCACAAAAATTACATTTTTTTTTAAATAATTCAGCGATACAATTTCGATCAGATTTTTTTTGTTTTATATTCGTTGTCCGAGATATCGTACTTCTTTTATTAAATATCAATTGATTTTGCACCATTTTATACAATAAATTTTTTTTAGAATTAAAAATTGAATATTAACGCAAATGCAATATTAAGAATATGAAAATCGAACGATATATTTATACGAAACATTAAGAACGCGCGATTTGAATTCTTTAATTTTTCATAGACATCTTTTAACATTCAAGTCAGATGTTTATGAAAATATTATTTAACGATACTCTTTTCCATTTAGATGTTGTCACATTTTAAAATTGCATTTGTTTTAAATATTTTTCACAAATTTTCGCGCATCAGTTAGAATTAATATTTTAAATGTAAAGAACTGAACATAATCCAAAGTTGAGAGAAAAAAAATTAGTTAAACTGTTAGTAGATTTTTGTTAATCTCAGAGAATTCGTTATATTTTGAGAAAGAAATAAAGGCTCATCATTGATTGAATGTAAACTTAAAGATTGCGACAAGCCTTTGATCTCTTGTGAAAATAAATTATTAAAATTATAAAATTGATATTTTTGAGACATCTTATATAATATAGATATTATAAATAAAGATATCATTGCAGTCTATTTTAATATGAGAAGAAATCCGTGAAAAAGTTATCCGTGAGAAATACAATATTTTCTCTCGTAAGTCTTGTAAAACGTGATTTTTTTTTACGTCAGCTGTAGCACAAAGATCCTCGAGTTCTTTTAAAGTCACGAGAATGCGACGTGGAGGAGAAAAAAAGGCGGCACGCAAAAAAGTTACGCATAGCTGCACGGTGCATCACGCGAGCAGGAAACGTAGGATTACGTAAGAAATTTGCCCTCTCGAACCGCGAGTTCTCCGAAGGCGCGAAACGGCCGAATCGCCGCGAGATGAAAGCTACAATACTTCCGCGCCGCGTTTATCTACTTTAACTGAAACCGTCACGAGACTATCACCGCCCATCGTTATCGCGAACCAGACGGAAAGGATAAACTGTATACACATACGATACACGAGAGATAACCGAATACGCCACGAAGTTCATTCCTTCTAGTTGCACTTTATATACACATGTAGTTCCTTATGATTTTCCTTCTCTTTTTTTTTTGTAAAAAAATCTGAAAAAATAGACATATATCGTTGCATTAATAGAACAGTGACATAAATAAAACAATTAGCATTTTTGAGATCAATCCTAAAGAGTAGAATCGATTTCCTTTCATTATATTAAATACTGATTTTTTCTACTTGGGTCATTTTTCTATCAACGCAGTGAATTATGTATTAATTTTGTAAGTGTACAATAAGAGTTTCTTAACATTACGAATGTGCTTTCTTTCTTTCTCGTATGGAAAATTTAATTCGTGAATTTTTTCTATTTTAATCACTTATACAGGATACAAATTAATTATGATTTAAGTTATATATACTATTACGACATTATTTCTACTAAAAATTAACATTTTTTTTGTTAAGAAAAGTTGGCTCCAAACTGGACTGGCTGTCAAAGCGTACACTGAAAATTGATTTTAATATCGCTTATTGAGTGTAAATTATATTATAACTATTACAAAACTATCGCTAAAAGCTATTAACACTTTCGTATTTTTTTGTTAAGAAAAATTAGCTTCAAGCTGATATATCTGTACTTACAAAGCGTATATTTGTACTTATGAAATTGATATAGCTTTGTAAATATTCCTCGAAAATAAGAAACACGATATAGGCATGCACGGTTGGTTTCAGATACTGTCCACCAAGCTTACAGTCTTACATTGCACGTCTCGTAATACAAGCGATCAAATCAACATGCAAAAAACAGCCGGAAATCTGCGGATTGAGGCAGCAAGAAAAGAGTAAGTTTTTTATGACTTCATAATGTTTTAATAAATGCTTTTTAAAATATTTGCAAAAAAATTCAAAATACAGATTGTCCGTTTAAAAAATAATGTAGGCAACTCTGATTTCTAAATATTATAGTTTTAGTCAGAATAATAGCTATATTGGCATAGATTTTTAAAAATGCATTTATATTTTTAGTAAAAATAATAGCTTTAGTGTAAAGATAGTCTTTAGTAAGAATAATAGCTGTCGGTATAAATTTTTTAAAATTTATATTTGATTTATATTTGATTTATCATATTTGAAATAAACGGCTCAAAAAAATGCAGCGATCAAAATGATAATTTATATTCAGTATATTCGATGGATCATCTTGTTCGCAGCGTACGCGCCTTTGAAGCTCATGCAAGCCGTCACGAACGAAGTGAACGAGATCTGCAGGCGGTATTTAGATAACAGCAGGTTGGCTCTCTTGCCGCCACCCTCGTCGACGCCGCAAGTGACAGTGGGTGCTATTAGAAATGCCAGAAGAAAAATGGAGGACCGTCACATGATCCTACACGACTTAAACACCATGTTTAATATTCAGGTCAGGAGATTTCACTGACGGTTCGCACAATCAATTGTTCAATTAATTGTTTAATATATAACTGATGAAATGATGAGCATTAATTTACACGTCAAAATTTATTGGCAATTATATTCGGAATTAATTCAATTTCCGACATCGTCCGACGGGCATAACGTCACACGAGCTGATACATTAATTTGTACTTTGCAGGACGACACTATCGTGGATTACTACGCGGTGTTTGACGGACACGGTGGACAGGACGCCGCGGCGTATTGCGCGACACATCTGCATCAGTATTTGGTCGAGAGCGTGCACTATCCTACGGATCCGGAAAGCGCGTTGCGCAACGCCTTTCTGACTACCGACGCACAATTCATAGCGAAATCGAGTACGCAGGTAAATGTTCCTTACGTGATATTTCATTCGCGCCATATTTCATTCCGCGTAACTCGCTGCCGATAATTCTATCGAGTCGTCATTACGTTACAGAAATTAAACGGTGGTACCACCGCGGTTTGCGCGTTGCTGATAAACAAGAAGTTGTACATCGCCTGGGTGGGCGACTCCATGGCCTCGCTGGTTACATGCGGCAACGTGAGACAGTTGGTCAATCCTCATCGACCCACGAGAGAAGTAAGTAACCTGGATTTCCTATTTCTTTTAATAGAATGGAATGGAAAATGTGAGATTTCATTTTTGACGGAGCATTCCTTATAAGTTTAAACCGCGTATCCAATTTTCAAAATATCCCGCTCCTGCGATGGAGCTCGCATTCGTATTACATTTATAGCCGAGCGTTAATAATTCTCGAATGCGAAACAGATTTAGTCCATCGATCAAATCCATTATAGTCCATCTTAATAATCTTTTCTCGAACTTTTTTGAGATTATAATTTTAACTTTTGGTATTTATTAAAATTATTGAAATACTCTTCGTTCGCTACCATTCTTTCTATCTTCTTTCCTTGGAAGAGAAAAGATGCCATCATAGAAATTAATATTATGACTTGAAAATCCGATTAGCGTAATAATGTTGACGTGCTCAATTTTCCTGCACAATTTTGCTTCGGACCACGTGATCGTACAATATTACGTGCTCGTAAAACGGGCAACGCACCCGAATTCGCGTCGTCTGCACACCGGGTGACGCGGCGGCCGGATCGACCGTGATCACTTGTCGATCGTGAATATTCTTCAACAGCAGCCCACACTTGGGGTCTATGATCGGCACGTAATTACGGGTCTCGTTCAACCACGTCCTCCCCGCGCGCCAGTGATAGTACGCGAGATCCCGCTTGAGCGGCGACAATCTTTTCTCCCCTCGGTAATACGGCAGCCAATCTTCCGATTTGAGCCGATCGGCGAAATCGATGTAGGCCGACTCCTCGAACTGCAGCCTCGTTATGAAGCGCCGGACGAACACGATGGTCGACAGTGTCATCAATCTGTTGGCTCGCTCGCGCAGGGCGAGCTCCACCATTAACCTACCGGCGGGCGACACGAGCTCCGACGTGAGCTCGTAAGGCCGGCGAACGGGGAACAGTAGATCTCTCACGACCCGTAAGCGACGGTAAAAGCCCTCCTCGCTCAGAGTCTCGCCGGTGCAGCGGTAACCGAGCTCGGCCAATTGACGCGCGGTCTTGCAGCTCCTGAGATAGCAGATGTCCGCAGACGTCACCAGCGAGTCCAAATACTCCTCGTAATTTTGAAAACGCAGCAATCTTCTGTCGCTGTCGGTCTGCGTTCCGAGGACGGTCGTCATGTTGAAAAAAAAAAAAAAAATACACAGGGCGATTTTATATTTAAAACCGATAATTTTACGTTGCCATCGGCGTTCGGAATCCTTTGTTACATTGTGAACAAACGAGACGCGTACGTGAAACGTGAATCCGCGGTAATCCAAAGCGAGAGTATCGAAGTATCGACACGTTTGACATCTATACGTTTATCACGGGAATATTATGCTCGGCTCTTTTATTGCGAGAATGCCACGTGCGAGATCTACCGAGGCCGAGATACGATGCGCCCTATTTACTATACGTCACGATCTTTTTCCCTGCAGGACGAGAGTGAACGAATTCGCAATATGGGAGGAATCGTCGTGCATTGTATGGGCGTCTTGCGAGTAAACGGATTCCTCAGTATATCCCGAGCCATTGGTAAGTGACTGCAATACACAGGCTCTCTTTTATCGTAGAGATATGAAAATTTATTGAAAATAAAAAGCTCTTGCATCTCTAATTTTTTTATCACGCGGCAAAACATGTAGAGCGTTAGATAATTAAACGCCTGAAACGTCTAATGTCCGCTTCTACTATAATTTACTTTTTATTTTTATCTAAATGATAAAAAGTAAGTTAAGTCAAAATTAAAGTTAATTTGCAATGGCAAAAATGGACATAAGGGTAATTTGAACTTTAAATTCCAATTAATTTAATCGACGATTAAGCAACTTCTACGATACTTTGTTAATTAATAAAAAACGGAATTATTAATTTTGTGCTGTTTGATATAAAAAAAAAATTATACGACCTTAGAATTATATAAATACGTAACTAGAGCTGTCGCAATTGTGCCGGTCGTAGGTATTACTCGTAATTAATGATTATTCGGAGTTTGAGGTCATTTTCGGGATCGGATTTTTCGCTAAAGCTTCTACTGTCGGATTTACCAGTCAACCTTCGTCGCGTTGAAGACGACACGGTACGACGTGAAAGTACAGATGGAGACAGCGTGGTCGATCGTGACACAGTGTAGTTAAACGCGAATGCTCGTACATTCGGAAATTTACAGAAAACGCAAAGCCGCTCGTGAGAAGCCAATATTAATCTCAAACTTATAGACTTCATAACTTCATAGACTTTACAAAGATATCGATAAAAATTTCTTTCATAAGATTGCCTATTAAAGTTTCACACTGCGATCTAATTAATCTTTCTAAAAACCCAAAGACAAAAACTAAAATTTAATCTTCTCTAATTTGAAATTAATCACGCCTAATTTCTAGGAAGATACGTTAAATCACGGCTGCACCGAGCGCTTCGTACGGGAAGTAGTTTTTTTTTTTTAATATTTCCATTTTCCTTGTCGATTGTATGGAAACTTTTTCGCTTTTCACGGTCTGCGAGATCTCGACTCAGTGCACGTAGCTCGAAAACGTGGTTCGCAACTAACTAATCTCGAGATCTCGGCGTTGTTTTCGAACGGATTCGAATTACCCCGGCAGACGGAAGTAATCGCCGTGTATTGTCGGAAACGCGACTTTCGGATTGACGTAATCGACGCGAGCTTTCCCGTGTTGTTGTTGTTGTTATTGACGAATTAAAGTCATTATCGGTATCGAGCTCTCCCCCTCGGTCGCGCGAGTAATCCTGCTCGTTTCGCGCGGACGTTCGGCCGATTTCGTCCGAGACACGGCCCGGGTCCGTTCGCGAGGTAGCCAAGTAAGGAACGGGCGCCCGGGTGAGTCCGTGCCCAACTACGGCTCAAGATACGCGCGACCTGTAAAGGTGAGGAAGGGGAGAGAGAGGGCAAAAAAAAAAATTCCGGCCGCGTGTCGGGTATCCTGTTGGTTCCGTTCGCCCGCTGACACAATACTACGTGCAGTTACGCTCCGGGAGCGCTCCACCGAGTGTGGCTCGCACAATCGCATGTCCGGAATAATTAAGCGCGACTGTTTCTCCCATTCCCGCTTATCTTTAGGCGCGTATGTAATAGGGCTCGCGAATCGCGATCGAACGTTTATCGGGCGCGTTGACCTTTCAGAGATCAAGATGACCCTGCGACGATCTGTAAAAAAAGAGAAAAGATTCTTATTGCGACATTTTTTTTTTAGCTACGTGGGCATTTTTATTGCCCTACACCTCATCAAATTACGTCGTATAAAATCCGATTGTATCAACGGGAGCGAATTAAATAAGCTCCGGTTTAATGACTCGCCGTCGTTATCATGGAGGATTTAATTAACCAAAATTAATTAACGCAATAACGTTAGCGCAACAGGTCCTAAATGAAAACTTCGGTGGATTCATTACTGAATTTGTAAAAACTAATTTATATTATGGTGAATAAGATAACTCGGTTGCGTGATACAAAATACGTTTTCACGTTTGCACATATATGTATATAATAAATGTGTATATATACGCTGCAAGCTCCGGTTTCGCGGCTCCACGAGGACGGCATGGAAGAAAAAGCTGCGCTCAGATTCCTAATAACCGGAAGCGCGCGGCGTTGTTGCATTGGCGTCGTTATTTAAATTAGCCGCGTTATTCATTAAACAGTTAATTATACTTAATTGCGCGCCGCGTGGCGTGTTTTTCACGTGTAAAATATCTGAATTACGGCTTTACCAATGGGTAAAACCGTAACACAGTTGCCTCTCCGCTCCACAATCTTAATCGCATACTTTCGGAGCTGAACATTCCTTTCCGCTTTTCGCGTTCACGCCTAGTAAGCCTCCCCGCGCGGGCGAGCGCGAGCGCGCGCGTCTCTTAGAACAGCGGAGCGGTCGCTCTTTCGTTTTCTTTTTTCTCTTTTTTTCAGGCGATGTCCCGTATAAACCGTACATCAGCGGCGAGCCCGAGGTCCGATGCGTGACTCTGGACGGTACCGAGGATTTTCTCATAATCGCCTGCGACGGATTGTGGGACTACGTCGATCAGAGAACCGCGGCGCTCCGCGTCTACCGGCAGGTGCTGCAGAATCCCTGTGAGTACGGCATATTTTCACTTGACTCAGTAATTAATAGAAATTTCTCAACCGCCAGCTAGTTGTTCGACGAAACTTAACAATGTATTAATATAGATAGATCAGACTGAACGTTATTTTATCAAGCGCTGTAATCAAAATTCTCTTAAGCGCTAAAAAAAAAATAAAATATATACTTAACAATATACACGACAAATAAAATATAAAATATTAAGAACTAAATTTATAAAATAAAAATAATAAGAAACTAGCAAAAATAACAAAAGTAAGAAAATAAGAATAGTACATATATATAATAAGTATATTTTACATACCTTTTTTTAGTTTTTTTTAATCATTTTTATCGCGCCGCAATTATGATTTGTTCGAGCACTTACCTGGTTATCCAATTTTAATATGGTGGATTGAAAGAAGACGATATTAAGTATATTGAAGATTTAAAAGCACTCAAGCGCTTCGGGCGTGAATTAATTTTTAAGCGACCATTGAGATGCGGGAAACGTTCAAACGAAGAGCATTCTTAGAACGCAATAAATTATTTTATTTATAATTTTATAAAATACATAAGAAATCATAAATCTCTCTTTCGCGATAACCTTTTACGGGTAAATTCATAGAAAATCGCGAGGTGTGGGATTTCGTACGAAAGAAACTTCTTACTGAGGAATAACGAGGAGAAAATCCACTGAACACCGTCGTCAGATAAGTACACGGCGCGCACGTATTCGACGTTACATTGATCGATACGACGTACTTTAAGCGATAAGCGCGTGCTTTTGCAGGAAATCCAAGCCGAATCGTTTCCATCGCCATATCGCTCGTAGCGCGCCGACGATACTGCGATACTCGAGAAAGTAGGGGAAACGATGTCGTTTCGTCGGGGAATTTGTGCTAGAAAAGACGAATCTCTTTGTAAATCCATAGTCTCTCTCTGTCTCTCTCTCTTTCTTTCTCTCTACCTCTACACATTTGTAGCTTTTACTTGCTATGCTCTGTTTACTCGATTTCCGGAACGGACGCGACATAAAATTTGCGTAGCGTTTTGCGCGTTGCGCTCTCCTGCCGATCGCTCGACCTTCCTGACGTTACTTTTGCACGGTAATACACGAAGAATCGAGATGAGACAGGGACGTGCGACACGTCGAGCGGATATGACTTTGACAGTTCCATCTGTTCACGCGAACTATTGGGCTATTAATTTTTTATTGCGTAGGTAGTCTGAGCTACTTTTTTTTTACGAGAGATGGGAAAGCGGGAAGAGGTAGGAACGGCTGTAGCAGCAGGTGAATGAGAAATTGCCACAATTTCGTGGAAACACAGCTGACACGAATTTCCAGAGGAAATAATAAAAATAAAATGGTATTCAGATTTAAGCGTTTAAAAGTGAACGACATTGATAGCATAGTTATAGCTTCATCATTAAATATCTACACGGAAAGAATTTTCTTTTAAAATTTACCCTGAAAATCATGTTAATTGTGAGACAATATAGTATTTAGGTAAATTTTACTGTGCACTACAATAAATTTTACTGCGAAATCTTATTGTAGTGCACAGTAAAATTTGCCTAAATACTATATTGTCCTATAATTAACATGATTTGCAGGGTAAATTAAAAAAAAAATTCTCTCCGTATAATATTGCTAATAGTATTCCAAGATCTACGCTTTATAAATATATAAGTTTTTCTTGCGATTTCTTGTTTTAAGCTTACATCTTGACAAAAACATCGATACCATCTGTGTGACTTTCGAATAAGTAAAGTGTCTCGACATTTCCAAAAAAAAGAAAAACCTATTCGGAGTCAGTCGAAGAGTGCGCAAAAATACGTCCAGGACACTCGGTATACATTTCGGATAGTCGACAGATAGTCGTGGACTCGATGACCATTTGACGCTTATTGCAAACAACATTTTTCCGAGTAACAGCAATCTTCAGCCGGACGGAAGCAATAAAGCCGATAAATCTTTTCCAGAATTCCACATATTTTTGTTAGATATAAACTCGCAATTGAATCATTCTCGTCTTAATCGATTTTAATAATGTAAGACACTGTTGTGGGCGTCTTCTTCTCGACTGCTCGTCTTGTATTTCTTTTTTTTTCTTCGTCTTACTAGTGTCGAAGGGAGGTCTGTTGAATGTAACGCGAACTTGGTGTGCTCGCCTTTTCCTTCGTTCTCGGGCGAGCAGGCCGATCGCCAAGCAGCTTGGCGGCTCCTCCGATCATTCTCTCACTCGCTCGTCATCCGTCTGCACGGTCGGCCGTCTCTCTCCCGTCGCCGGTTCCCCGAGACGTTTTCCCTTCGATTGATTTTTCGCCGCGACTGAACTCCCGCGTCTCGCGTCTCTCTCTCTCTCTCTCTCTCGCTCTCTCTCTCTCTCAGTTGGTGACTCAGTGATTCACAGTGATTCATAGTGCCTCTAAGGAGGAGGACCTCGGAGGAGAATATTAGAAGTCCGATTGCCTTCGTGCAAATTCCTCCCGGTAAGTCGCGGATCATCCGCAATCAATTGACTGTCAAGCGCGAATAACGACAAAGTAATATTGGATCGGAAAGGGGAAAAGTTTATCTAGTAGTTTATTTAGTAGGTACCTGAAAACAGAAGTTTTTGATTGCGCTACATGAATAGCAAAAATTATTGTAAAATTACTAAGAAATTATAGTTATTAATTTTATTGGTTAATAAATAATTGAAGATTCAGTTGAATTAGAGACTGAATCAGATAAATCCACGTTAGTCGTTAATTTATTATTCATGGTGGCGAGGCAAGCGGTTCTTTTAAAATAAAATGGATATACATTAAAGGTATAATTTAGTGTAATATACCCTTTAATGAGGGTATATAATAGCAAAGTAAGTACTTAAAACTAATTGTAAACTATTATTTTGATTTTTGCATTTTCAAAGTCCATTTTATTACTTCTAAAAACACTACTGAATAGCAAAAATCCTTATAAAATGACTAAGAAATTATTAATTTTTGTTTTTGTAGAATTGAACACTGAAATTTAATTGGGAAATGATTGAGATTTTAAAATAGTAATAGAATGATGATATTAATAATGAAATTAATGACTGCGATTTCTTAATAATTTTTGCAAAGATTACTAAATGAACTTATTTTGCTCGCCATCTTCTTCAATATGATTTTATATGATAAAACTACTATATAATGTTTTATCATCGAGAAATGGTCTTGCACTTCCTCATAGCGTTTTCGAATAGAACATGTTTTATCGCTCTGAGAAATAATAACGTCACATGTTCTCTTCGTTCAATCAGAAATCTAAAATAGAGCATATGACGTCATTAATCGCTCTGGAAGCGATCAAACCTGCTCGGTTCAAAAACACTATCAATCAGCTCGCTTATTTAAGGACGAAGCTGATTAATTTCGAAAACATCTTCTGATATTGCCTCAAAATCACTCATCGATTACAGGTATCAACATTATACGATTGTGTTCGTATGTGCGATGCGCATAGAAATTGCGACTAAACACGCGTATAAAGCGATTCGGTCTTCATCTTCCGAGAACGAAATAGGGAAAGAGGGAGGAAGAGAGAGAGAGAGAGAGAGACAATTTAAAGTGATCAAGTGATCGACGCGGCCCGGCATTGTCGTCGCGCGACAGACGTTTTCCCAGCGGCAACGGTACCGTGCACACTCATCGAAAGGAGTCCGGAAATCTCTCCCCTCTCGCGAAACTACCGTACCGTCCGCCGTGTCCGCGAAAATATGCCTCCCCGTTAGGAAGTGCGCGATTATCGTCGTCATCCGCCGCACCGACGTAATCTTTCTTTCGCGCTTTTCACGCAAGGAATTCGAAAATTACGTAAAGCCTATACACCAGCCTCCGTCGTGACCGTGGAGACCGCGTTGCACTAGACCGCAATAAAGTAACGATCTCAGGATATACTACATTTATCTCCGCTGTGAAATTCTCAAAGTGATTCGAAAAGCGATCGATGTTTTTTCTTGATAATAATTGGAGGAACAATAGTTTTTTTTTTAATCGTGAACGATTGAACGACAATGAGAGACTTTTGACGAATTTAGCTTTAACAACTTTGGACAAATGTATCTTGTATAAATTAAATTAAATTATATTATACAAATTAAATTACATTTAATTTAATTTTAATTCATTTATGGAAAAACTTATTATTTCGATTATTTTCAAGAAAAATTGACTTAAATTAAATTCTTATTCCATTTATGATCGTAAATCTTTCTTAGGAGCGACGAAATGAACTTTGACAATACAAGAATTGATTATAGATAACCTAATCTTAATCAGTGACTTAAGTACTCCGTGAATTATAAATTATGTACCTTTAATGTTTATTTTACTCCAAAAAAATTTCTTGCGATCTCAGACGATCATGAATAATAGATTAACGACTTGGGCCGATTTTATCTGGCTCAAGCCCGTAATTCACGCTGATCTTCAATTATTCATCGACCGATAGACCAAAGCACGTGTCACATATACGTCTTGGTCTGTCGGCTAATAAATAGTTGGGAATCCGCGATGTTATATATGTGACAACCGCTGGAACGTGCCGATCCCTTCTCCGCCTTCGCGCGGATCTCAGAAGCGTAAAGGCCAATACCCGGTACGGCGCGGTGAAAACTTCGGAGGAGAGAACGCAGCGCGTTAAGGATCTCCTCTATCCGTCTCACGTTCCCATAATTGTTAATTCGGGAAAGCGAGTCCGCGCGCGCGCGAGCCGGTTTCTCATCAGGCCTTCGCGCCGGTAATTTATACGTGTCGCGCGACACGTTTAAAATTGACTTCAACGACATTACTCGGAAATCGCGGGGAAAGAATAAAAGCGCTCGGCGAGAGAACGCGGAGCGGACGGTCACGCAGCATCCGACGGAGAAATACGTCGGAGATTCCGTCACGCTCTGACGCATCGTTGACACGGCCGCACATGCAGCCCCCGACATATACCTACTCCGTTCCTCCGTATTTTAAATAAAATACGTTC